ATAGAACATAGAGGGATGTGGCAGTCTCGTTTTCTTGAGGCTTCTCAAGGCGTGAAAGAGCGTCAGCTGCATTGTTAGACTTACCAGATTGATATTAAATTTTGAAATTAAATTCCAACAGTTTGAACAAATAAGTCTGTTGTTCAGGAGTGAGAACAATTTGAGAGAGGAGTTTCTTGATAGACCTTCGATCTGTTTGTATAATGAAATGATGACCCAAGAGATATTGGTGCCATTTTTGCTCAGTTGTAGTAATTGCACATAACTCATGTATGTACGTGGATGAATGACAGGGTTTAAGACAGAATTGCTTGCTAAAATAAGTAATGGGATGCCCATTTTGAGACAGCACTGCACCCATGCCTATACCCGATACATCTGTTTGCAATGTAAACACTGAATCGAATCTTGGTAAGGCTAAAACTGGTGCTTGAAGAAGGATTTGTTTGAGGCATAGGAAGGCTTCATGTGCTCTGTCGATCCACCCAAAATTGTCCTTTTTTAGGAGATTAGTGAGGGGGTGTGCAATAGACGCATAACCGGAAACAAAGCATTTGTAGAAACCGGTAAGGCCTAAGAAACCCCTAAGAGCTTTGAGATTGGTAGGAACAAGCCAATCGCGAACTAATTCTAGTTTTTTTGGGTCTGGTTTGACGCCCTCATTTGAAACCACGTGAAACAAATATTGGATTGATTGATGCTCTATAAAACACTTACTGCCCTTTAGGCGAAAACTGTGGGAGAGCAAAAGTTGGAATGTTGTCTCTAGATGCATAATGCGATCATTCAAGGTATGGCTGTAAACTAAAATATCATCAAAGAAAACGATGATAAATCTCCAGAGATGTGACCAAAACAAATCATTCATTGTTGCTTGAAAGGTAGATGGATGGCGCATTACAAAGTTCGAAAGGCATTACTCGGAATTCGAAATGGCCATTGTGTGTTCTAAATGTTGTTTTGTGTGAATCACTGGGTAGCATTAGAATTTGGTGAAAGCCGAAGAAGAGGTCTAGTTTAGAAAACCAAGATGCGTGGCCAAGCTCATCGAGGAGCTCATCAACGCTAGGAATAGGGAATTTGTCTTTCACAGTAGCAGCATTGAGGGCCCTATAATCCACACAAAAACGTCATGTACCGTCCTTTTTCTAAACAAGAAGAACTGGTGATGAGAAGGGGCTGTTGCTAGGTTTAATGAAGCCTAGATCAAGCATCTTCTGAACTTGGGTTTCTATTTCTTGTTTTTGAAAATGTGAGTATCTGTAGGGTCCAACAGAAATATGAGGAGTGTTGAGTAATAATGTGAGTGAGTGATCTGTAGGACGTGATGGTGGAAGAGTAGAGGGAGTGGAAAACAAGGTGGAGTATTGTGTTATAAGGGATTGTAAAGGTTGTTCAGTGGAGATGGGAAGGGTACTAGTTATGAAGGAAGTATGTGGTTCTGTAGATGGAAAGGGGGTGAAGGTTGTGGGTATGAGAGGGTTATGGTTAAGTGTTAATTGGAAAAGGGCCTCAACTTTATTGGTGTGGTAGAGTCTGCGTAGTTAATGAGCAGATATGGGAGAAGGAATTGGGTCAGGATCCCCCTTTAGTTCCACCAATTTCTCTTGCCACATGAATCTCATTAATGGACCATTGTAATCCATAACAAATGGGCTGACCATGGATAACCAATGCACACCTAGAACTACATTAGTGCCAGAGAGTTCTAGAGGATACAGATCAATAAAAAAATCAAGTTGATTCAATATAACAGTTACTTGAGGGCAGAAAGAAGAACAAGATAAGAAGTCACCATTACCTACCATCACACGTAGTGGGCTCATAGTGGGCTGTGTAGGCAAATGGAGAAATTGGGCTACACGATTCTGTATGAAGTTGTGGGTTGCTCTACTATCAACTAAGATTTGCACCGCATATTGATCCGGTAAGCATGAAGGCTTATGAGACCTGCCTCTTATGCATTGTCATCGAGGGAGGAAAATTCCTCATTGATTTCTGAGGAATCTACTGGATCATCAGTGGTGAGCAGTAGGAATTGGGGTTTACAATGATGACCCCTAATGTATTTTTTGTCACAGTTGTAACATAAATTCTTATCTGTCCAAGCTTGCATCTCAACCTCAGTGAGGTGTTTGATTGGAAGTTTGATGGATATTGTGGGTAACAATGGTGGGAGGGGTTTTGGAGGGGAAGGTGTGTTTGTGTTTGTTGTGGGAGGAAAAGAGAGAAGATGGGTTCGGTTGAAGCGGTTAAATGGTGGGGGAGTGGATCGGGTCTTATCGTCATAGAGTTTAGCTAGGGCGATAGCGTGGGGAAGGTCCGGTGGTTGGAGGGCTATTACCTCTCAGCAGAGGTGGGGTGGGTTTCAGGCCAGAGAGAAAGCAGCTAAGGTAGAAACTCTGTGGAAAATCAGAGATTTTGTTAGCCAGAGTCTCAAATTCAGAGAGATATTCATGAAGGGACTGAGTTTGCAGAGGGAAGCGATAGGGTCGTCAAACTTGGATGGGGCAAACCGAAGCTTGAGGGCGCGAAGAAAAGCTTCCTAAGATGTCAAGAGGCCATTATTGAACATCCATTGGAACCAGGCGAGAGCTTGGCCTTCCAGATAGAAGGAAGAGATCTAGATGCGTTGGGCTGTGAGTGTTTGGTGGTACTCAAAAAAATGATTGACCTTGAATATCCAGCCCAAGGCATCCGAGCCATCGAAGGTGGGAAGATCAAACTTGAGAGGGCGGGTGGATGAGGATACGATCTGTGAAGGAGTTTGTGTCTCCAACAAGGAGGTGCAATTTGCAATGTCATGTAGGGTAGTAGAGAGGTTAGCATGGGAGAGAAGAATTGTTCAAGTTTAGAGTTGAGCTTGGCGAGCTCATCGGGAGGATATCCAGCCATGGGAGTAAGGAGCAATGAAAGCACCAATGAAAGGTTCTTCTATGAAAGGAAAAGTAATTAGCTAACAGAAAGAGAAATTGCAAGGAGAAAAATATTACTCAATAATTTATTGTTCATCCTTTCATTAACAATACCGTGCTATATATGTACAAATTGGCAACCGCCTTGCAATAAGAAAAAAAAAATTACAATGAATATTCCCCAATCATTAGTTCTTAACGGATTTCTCCTTTTTGCGGGTAAAGGCACACGTAACCACATAATCCTTGAGGTGGTGAGGTGTGTGAGTAATCCTTCTAAATCTTTCTTCACGTGTCACAGCAAAGTCAGGCAATTAGGTTGGTGCTCTTAGTGGGCTATTTGTCTCAGGGCTGTTAGAAGGAGGTGAAAACATAGTGTGTCAAATCTGGAACATAGAAAAGGAAGAGATGGCAATCAAAATTCAAAACAATGAATTGAAGTTAAAGTAAAAGACATTCTTATTGCCGATTACTGTCCCACCACATACCCAAATCCATTGTTAGATGAAACAAAATTCTCTTCTGTTTTGGCGCAAATTAAACGATTCAATCAATTAAAATTTTGTATTTTTATTTAAATAAAAAATTTTAATTAAAAATATAAAATTAACATGATTAGACATTCAGTTACAGAAAAAAAAATTTGAGTCCGATTCATTCAACCAAAAGGAAAATATCTTTTTCAGTGACATTATATTACAGAATTTTTAATCATTAAAATAATTAACTTCTCTTACAATTTTTCAATAAAGGAGAGGATATGCTTCTCCCTTCAACCAAGTTCTCTTACATTTTTTTATATCTATAAAGATTAACTTTATTTTTTTCCATTTAAATTAATAAGTATTAGACATTACACTTATTCAGTAAATATAAATTTTAGATATATTATTTTATGTATTGTTTTTTACTTAAAACTTAGTATCCTGTGTAATAAATGTAAACATTAATAATTAAACTAAATTCTTAATTTTAATATAAAAATAACATTAAAGTGGACCATATATTAAGAAAAAAATTAAAATAAAATATTTATCATGTAAAAAGTTTTTTTAAATGAATGTGACAATGAAACTTATTAAAACTTACAAAAAAAAAACGTGATAGATCTTGCTAATACTATTGCTTTAAGAAATTAATAAACATTTTTTTATTAAATTCATTAAGAGTGAATTGAAAACCATGGAAAATATATATTTTCACGCTTAAAGATAAATTTTTTATTTTCAATTCTTAATTAATATTTATATTTTTCAAATATTATAACTACAAGTTCCATAAAATTTATAATAAGATGAAATAGTAACAATTTAATATTTATTATTTCTCGTATCAAGTGCGTGTCTTTCGACAAATGTTAGCAAAATTGATATTTTTTTATATGAAAAAAATTATTAGTAAAACAAATTTTTAATTAAATACATGTCTAAAGACAATTTATATATAATAAATTTATTAAAAATAAATAATATTACAATATGAATATATTACTAATATTAAATGTTATCATTTTTAATTAAAAAAATTCATTAAAGAATTTATAATGAATATTATCTTAAATTTTTTTATAGACAAATCCATAAGAGCATTTTTCTCTTTAAGTAAATATATTGGAATAGTAGTAAAACTTCTTAGCATTTTTTGTAGGTATATTAAAATATAATTTTATTAATGTCATATTTTCGAAATTTAATTAACATTAATCTTTAAAGTTAATTTTAAACACTTTAAAGTAATTTTTTGGTTAAAATATTAATGTAAAACTTTTATATTTTTAGTGTAATATTTTTAATCACTTAAAATTGACTATTGAAACTGATGTAAATATTTTTTATGAAATAGTGATCACTTAGAAGACGAAGAGCCGTGGACGTCACTTGCGCAATAACAATTCAACGATTAACTGTGTTTGTTTTTAAAGTGTTCAACGTTCAGACAAGAAAAATCGATTTCTCCAAACATAATCAATGGTAATAATTAATAAAAAAACATTAATATCAGCTCTTAGGTTAACAATAATAAACTTTGATTATATTTTTATACATAAATTTAATATATAAATGTGTTCTTCGTGGGTTATTTAGTATATACTATAGGATTAAGATAAATTAATGAATACCCTCTTCACTGAATATTGGATGTTGACTTGGAGTTCCTCTGCCTTTGCCTGAGAAACAAATCCACTCACAGTTAACGTTATGGAAAAACAAATAACATCTTTGTCTTTGAGACATTCTTTCTTAGTAACTTTGATATTTCTGAAGTTTGCTGTGGGAGTGCTAAGTGCTGATCGCTATAGCAGAGATGATTTCCCACGCGATTTTGTTTTCGGTTCAGGCACTTCTGCTTATCAGGTCAATCTTTCTTTGTTATATATATATATATCAATCATTTTCTTATATTATAATCGTTACTTTATACATGAGATTATGAACAGGTGGAGGGAGCTGCAAACGAAGATGGAAGAACTGCTAGCATCTGGGATACCTATGCCCACGCTGGTTCCTTCCTTCTCTCTACTTTTTTTCTCTTCATCCATCTTACTAATTAAGTAATTATAGATTTTGATACTCTATGATAAATTGATATTTAGGTATGATAATAACAATTAATATATAAGAATATTTTCGAAAAAGAACAATTAAAGCTTTATTGACATTTTAACATAATAAATATTTTGAAATAAAATAAAACTTTTAAAGTGAAACTAAATAATTTGAGCCAAAGGCCGTATATACAGAAAGATTATTAGTGTCCTATGATATGGATCCTCTCAAGTGAAGAATTCACTACATCCAATCCATTGAACTTTTAGCCATTTATTTTGTTTAAAATATTATATTTATTAATTTTAATTAAATAAGTTAAATATTTGATGGTCTTGATTTTATCTAGTGGTCCATTCACTGGAGATATCTTCTTCCTTAGTGTCCTAATACATTAGTTAAAACAATGAAAATGAAAAATTATAATTAAAGTATATTATTATATTAAAAATATGGTTTTACAATTTTTTTTAATGTAAGGTCAACTTTAAATTTTTCTTCAACATATTTTTATTTGCTACATGAAAATAATAATATTTTTTTTGTACTTTTAAATATGTTTAATTCTTTTAAAAAGTAAAAGGAGAATGAGTTGAAAATTTTTATAAAAAGAATATATTAATACTCTAAAGAATATTAGGAGGATTGTTAATTAAGAGGTGTTTTAAGAAGACAGCATAACATTACTCTTCAAGTAATTTGAAGCATTTAATTAGATATTTTAAATATTTTTAATCGATAACATGACCTTATTTTTAATTTTATTATTCAAATAATATACGTTTGATAATGTCCTATGCATAAATATAATCAATTTTGTTAGCATAAGTCCTTAAAAACAAATGTTAAAGAAAAAAAATCCTAAAAGTTTTGTAAAAATGAAAATATTTACTACGTAAAAGATACAAAAAGTCATTAACACTTGCTTTCGAATAATTAAAAATAATTAATAAATTATATTTAATACTTTATATAACTAAATTAACGAACTAATATACAATTTCTCTTTAAAACATGGGTAAAATATGGTAAAAAGTGTTAATAAAATAAATAAGTGGAGATACACTGATTTTAGTTTAATTTTAAATATATTATCACCCTGATTATCAAATAATTTAACAATGAGTATATTATTGTTGTTGTTTATTTATTTTCAAGATGTGTTCATTATGTATATATACAATTCCTGTATTACCTTCTACTTCTGTGAGTGTACTGTAGTTAACAATTCCTGGATTTGTATTTTATATATTTTAAATAAATTAAACATATGGATAAATATTACTTAGAATTACATGGTTTTCAAGCTTTTAGACATCAGAGGATAAAGAATCCAAAACTTCAACAATAGATTATATTATGTGTAAATTTTCTGAATTAGAATCAGTGTTGAAAAACTGGGAATCATAAATTTTCTCATGCAGTAATTTTTAATGAACAGGGTTTGCATTTGGAGATAATGGAGATGTAGCCTGTGATGAGTACCACAAATATAAGGTGAAGAGACTACATCTCAATGTTTTTTCTTTGATTATTAGTATTATTTGCCCGTTAACTCATTTCTTGTGGCTCTTCCATTGGCGGAAAATTGAAGAAGATTGAGGCATAAGCTGGTCAAACAATATAAGCTATTGTCACTGTTTTATTTAACTGTTAAAAACTTAGAACAATTTTAATTGTTTTCCCGAAAATATACAATGCAGGAAGATGTGCAGTTAATGGTGGAAACAGGGCTTGAAGGCTATAGATTTTCCATTTCATGGTCAAGACTTTTACCAAGTATGATACAGAACACAAACTTGATCACATAATTAAAATAAAAGCCTTGATTTTAATGCTTCTGAACACTATTGAAAATACTTTCGTTTCTTCTCAGATGGAAGAGGACCTGTTAATCCCAAAGCAGTAGAGTACTACAACAATCTCATCAATGAACTCGTCAGCAATGGTTAAGCTTAAACACTAGTTTGTTAATTTGCATAATAAACCATGCCTTATAGTTATGTTCCCTCCATAAATAAATAATAATAAAAAATTTGAACCAGTTTTGCTTCTTCAACTGCTGTAGTTCATTATTTCCCTTGAACAGGAATACAACCACATATCACACTTCACAACTTCGATCTCCCTCAGGTACTTGAAGATGAATATGAAGGGTGGGTTAATCGTCAAATCATGTATGTTCCCCATCTCTTGCATCATAATGCTGTTTAAATTAATTCATGAAATTTTTGTTACAATCTTTTCAATCCCCCTCTGCATTTTATTTTATTATCATTTTCTTATATTACTTCTTATATTGAACCATGCACACAATGGAGAAATATTAATGCATAGATTACTTGTATGTGAATTGGTGAATGCAGAAGAGACTTCACATATTATGCGGATGTGTGTTTTAGAGAGTTTGGTGACAGAGTCATGTATTGGATTACTGTGAACGAACCCAATGTTTTCTCACTTGGTGGTTATGATCAGGGAGGTACCCCACCCCAACGATGTTCTCCCCCATTTTGTGTGATTGAGAGCAAAAGGGGAAACTCAACATATGAGCCCTACTTGGCAGTTCATAATATTTTGTTAGCGCATTCTTCAGCTGTGAGATTATACAGGAGAAAGTACAAGGTATATCACCACATACACAGATATAATATGTTATTTATATTTACTACTTGAATTGTTTACTTTTACATCACTTTTTTCTAAATGGAAAAATCTTCAATTTATATACTTTGCATAAAACTTTAACATCTTAAATTCTTAGACTTTTTATATTGATTTTTATTCTTCTCACGTGGGACACTACGTGGCTTTGCAGGACAAACAACATGGATTTGTTGGTATCACTATCTACTCATATGGGATTGTTCCTCTAACTAATACAGAAAAAGACAGGGTAGCATGTCAAAGAGTGCGTGATTTTCAGGTTGGTTGGTAAGTTACAGTCCCTACAATTGGTTGGTTTTACTTTCCCTAGTGTTCTTTATTTGTCCTCTCAAGACTGGTGAATATATGTAACCGAAGCTTTATCCTTTCTTTCTTTCTTTCATTGGACATACCAATATATTTGCTTGATCTGAACCTGGTCTATATTTCCATTGTCTATAAGCTCTTAATACTTCAAGGCCTTCCCTGTCAAGTATTGGTGATGGCTATGATACACACTGAAGAATATGGCAGTTTTTTGAGGTTGTTTTATTGCAGGATTATGGAACCCTTTCTGCATGGAGACTATCCCATTTCCATGAAGACAAATGCAGGTGCAAGAATTCCAGCCTTCACAAATCATGAGTCCGAACTAGTTAAGGGTTCATTTGACTTCATAGGCTTAATTCACTACGCCACTGCCAATGTCACAGACAATTCTGAATCCCTGAACATCAAACTGAGAGATTATACCGGAGACATGGCCGCAACAATAGTCTGTAAGTACTTAGTTTAAAACACAGAATTTAGTCAGAGATTAAAGTTGGTCATATAAGCTTACTGTAAAAATTAAATTCATGATATCTGTTTCATCATTATCATTACGAAATGTCCAACTTGTGGGACTTTCACACCATGAATGATGCTATATCTCTTCACAATAACCTTCTAATTACCTCTTGATAATCTTACAAAGAAAGTATTACATATATGAAAAAAATAAATACATTTAATATCTTGATGTATGACAACGTGTACAACAATTTAAAAAGATCCTTTTGGATAATGAGCTCAACCATGTGATTCATTCATTTCTGAGCAATTGGAGGAACAGGGTAGTGACTTATTGCTTTCCTGGTTTTGGCAGTTGAAAAGGATCTGTTTTCAAATGAAGAGGTAACCGTAAAATAAAAAATTGTCTCATAATTAATTGGTTCAATTTTTAAGATTACTTCACTGCATGACTAACCAGCTTTACTTGACTCAGTATGCCGTGGCACCATGGGGTTTGCGGGACGAACTCGATAAATTTAAGCTCCTCTATGGCAATCCTCCTATATTCATTTATGAAAATGGTCTCTCTCTCTCTCTCTCTCTCTCTCTGAGGGTTGAATATTAAACTGCGGGTCAAAATCTTGTTCCTTTATGGCAATCATTCTTGTTTATAACCTTTTTCCACTTTATTAATACTTACCTAATAGTGTCATTAATTTGTTATACCGTGATTAACTTGTATTTTCCAATATACGAAATTAAGAAAAAACATTTATAGTGCATGTTTCAATACTAGGAAATAGTGTTGATGATGTATTGGGTAGTCGTGTGGCCCAAGGTGAGTTTAAATGGGTTGATTTACTGATCTAATTTTGGGTTGTTAATTAGGACAACGGACAAGAAGAAATTCGTCACTGCAAGACGTGTCAAGGGTGAAGTACTTACATGCATACATTGGTGCCGTACTTGATGCTTTGAGGTATGTAGTGGCTACTCTAATTCATTTAGTTTACACACATCACAATATTGTTTTTAATCACTTATGCAGAAGTCCCTCAGTGGATGGAGCTTTATTTATGATTTGGGAATCTAAATTATGCAAAAGCAATACAAATCTATTGAACTATATTGTTATATTGAGTTATTAATTCATCTAACCGTCTTGAAAGGAAGTGACTTATCTAAAAAAATAATAAAAAATGTCCACAACACACACACATACGCTGATTTTATGTCACTCTAAATTTTCTCAGAAATGGATCAGACATAAAGGGGTATTTTGCGTGGTCTTTTCTGGATTTGTTCGAGTTGCTGGGTGGATACAGTTCGAGCTATGGCCTATATTATGTTGATAGGGATGATCCAGAATTGAAGAGATACCCAAAGCTCTCTGCGAAATGGTACAGACAATTTTTGATGGGTAAAAACACCTCTATAGTTGGAAGTATTGAACTTGTGAAGGATCCATCACTTGTTTCTGTTGACCACTTATTTGAGTAGGTTCTGTAAATTTGTTTGCATTTGAGCATCATTGCGTAGTGATGTTCTTGAAAGAATAGTGTGAAGTGGCAGATAATATGGTTAAGAAAAAGGAAATTTCAAATAATAGTTTTAGACAGTGTTTGGGACACTTGAAATCAAAAAACAGATATCTCATAATATTATATTTTTATTTTCCACCTTTTTTTTCCTATTGCTATTGGTTACAATCTGCCCACAAAACTCTTACGTTATATAAAAAGGAAAAAAATAAAATCAGGACGTAACACCTAACAACTCCCCCTTTTTAAGATTCTTTTTATCAACAAAAATAATTATAAAATGTTTATGAAATTTTTACAATTAGTTGAAATTTATAAAAAGTTATAAAATATAAATGAAATTATTGAAGGCGGCGAAAAAATATTTTTATTCGTCAAATATTAAATTTTAATGTTTTTCATAAAATTATTATTACTTCATTTTAATCCATATATATTTTAAAAAATATTGATTTGATCTATATTTTCATAAAATAATAAACATGTGAAAGAAAACTTAATATGAGATTACATTTAAATTAGTCATATCATCATTTAATAATGATTAAAAATTAAATTAACACTTTCAAATTATAAAAAGTAAAACAAAAAATAATTTTATAAAAATTAAAATTAAAATTTAATATATTTTTTAAAATAAAAATATATGTAACTCATTTTCTTCTTAGAAGAAAAAATCATATAAACACAAAGTAAATTTTAATCGGTGTCTTAAAGATTTAAGGAACAAAAAATATTTTTCTATCAGAAAAATAATGAATACAGTTTTTACTTTTAATTTCTTTTAATTAAACACTCTTAATTAATTTATTTTTTTACCGTAACTTAATTTAGCAACGAACGGAATTTACGCTGGTTTACAGCTACACTGTATAAAATAACGAATTTGAAATAATGTATTAAAAAGTGATGTTGTTACGGTATTTATACCTTAAAAAAGATATTTTATATATTTTTTAAATTCACAGCTGTAATTATTTTAATATTTTAAAAATTAAAAAAATTATATATTTTTAAAATAAACTATTAATATATTAAAAATTAAGAGTAATAATTATTCTATATGTTATTACTTAAAATATCCGTGCAGGTGTAGTCCTTCTCATTGTCGATTGCAATCTGAAACACTTTCAATGAGAGGATACAAATCAACCATTATCTGTAACGAAGTTGACGTTTTATGTAACTTTTTTTGACATGTGTCCATGAACAGGTATTAAAAATTTAAAATAAAAAATTGAAAATATTTATTATGTAAAAATAATTGATATCTATTTTTGAAATTAAAAATTATACATAATATATATTTAATTTAGTGTTTAAAAATTCATTTGAATTTAATAATAATGGTAGAAATATGAAAAATGACTAATATTTATAAAACAATAATCATGAAAAAGATAGAACCATGAATGTCTTTAGTTTCAGTGAATGCGAAGTGCTTATTTGTTTTATAATTGTACATATATCTAGATTAAGTGTAATTATAAGGTAGTTCCTTAGGGATGGTTGGTGCAGAAGCAGAAACTTCTGTAAGCCATGCTTTCATACTCACTTTCTTACTTCTGAATTTGGGAGTGAGAGTGCTAAGTGCTGATCACTATAGCAGAGATGACTTCCCAATTGATTTTGTTTTCGGTTCAGGCACTTCTGCTTATCAGGTTTACACTTTTCATTATATCCATCATTATTTTCTTAATTATTTTATCCCTAACCAGTTAATTTGGTAGATGAGTGATTAGTATAAGGTGCTAAGATGAAAATGTACGTGTTCAATGTATTATTTTATATTATAATCGTTACTTTATTCATGTGATTATGAACAGGTAGAAGGAGCTGCTAACGAAGATGGAAGAACTCCTAGCATCTGGGATACCTTTGCCCATGCTGGTGTGCTTCCTTTTCTTTTCCTCCAATTTCTTCTTCCCCTCCATCTTTCCATTATCCATTTTTATCATTTTAAAGCTTGTTCATACTTTTTTTATTTTATAGTTAAAAAATATATAGTTAATTTTATCGAATAACTTTAATTAAATCAGTTAAACTTCAAGTTACGTATTACAAACGCGCAGCTTTCAATTAATTTTATCAAATAAGATATTCTTTACTTTCTCACCTTAATTATAAAAGAAAATCAGTTTAGAAGAATCTTTTCCAATAATATAAGGACAATCCGATAACTATTTTTCTTTTATGGTTGTTGAAGGTAGATATTGATGTTATCTGCGTTTAAGAAACTGATAAACAATTTGCATGAAGTTAGTGCTATCCAATTACAACCTTAACTTCAACATTAACATTAATATACTGCACGAAAATGAGATTATTATGAATCATATATGTGAATTGCTCGTAAAGGAGATTCATTTCGTACCCATTATTTTCTGAGAATACTACCCTTAACAATTGCTATATTTGAATTTTATATTTCAAGCAAGAACATAATGCATAAATATTGATTAGTAATTGCATGGTTTTTCAGGCTTTTAGACAAAACAAATTGGAGGAAAAACAATTCAAAACTTTACCTATTGATTATATTAAAGACTTGCTGAAGCGAGGATCATTGATTTCAAACTGGAAATACTACATATAATATGTAGATTTTAATTAACCAGTCATCGTTAATGCTTATTATATTTCTCTCACTATCATTTTAATGAACAGGGTATGCGCATGGAGAAAATGGAGACATTGCCTGTGATGGGTACCACAAATATAAGGTGAATACACTATGCCTCAATTTTTCATTTTCCCGCTTATCCATTCCTTGTGGTAAAAAGTTTGAGGCATAAATTGGTCAATCAATACAAAGCCCAGGTAAACTTTCAGAAATGAACAAAAATATCACTATAAAAAATAAATAAAACTTTTTTTTTTTTGTAAATTCAAAATAATTTATGCTTTTTAATTTTTTTTTAGAAATTTTTTCAGTTTAACTTCTCTAAAATTTAAAGAAATAAATTACATAATGCAGGAAGATGTGCGGCTGATGGTGGAAACAGGCCTTGATGCCTATAGAATTTCAATTTCTTGGTCTAGACTCTTACCAAGTACAATACTAAACTCATGCTCATGCACATAATCAAAACCATTAAATTTTAAGGATCTTTACTTCTTTGTCAGGTAAAATACGTCTCAACATTCTTAAAAATGCTTTTGTTTCTCCCCAGGTGGCAGAGGACCCATCAATCCCAAAGGATTACAGTACTACAACAATCTCATCAATGAACTCGTCAGCAATGGTCAAACTTAAACACTAGTTTCTTAGTTTGCAACATTAACCGTGTCTTTGATATTCACTCCTAAAAAATAAAAGGAGCCTTGAAACCAATTCTTCTTCTTGTACTCATATATTTCACCATATCCCTTGAGCAGGAATCCAACCACATGTGACTCTACACAACATTGATCTTCCACAGGTACTTGAAGATGAATATGGAGGATGGCTTAGTCGTGACATCATGTATGTTAGTTCCACATACAACGTGTTTACTTGTGCTCAGGATACAATATCATTATACTAAACCATGCATGTAATAACAAATGGATAAATTACTTGGATGTGAATGCAGAAGAGACTTCACAAACTATGCGGATGTGTGTTTTAGAGAGTTTGGTGACAGAGTCTTGTATTGGATGACTGTGAACGAGCCCAATGTATTCGCCAGAGGTGGTTATGATCAGGGAATAATTCCACCTCAACGATGTTCTCCCCCATTTTGTCTTACAAAGAGCACAAGGGGCAACTCAACTTATGAGCCTTACTTGGTAGTTCATCATATTTTGTTAGCTCATTCTTCAGCTGCAAGATTGTACAGGACAAAATACAAGGTATATCTATCATCTAATCTTCTTTAAGGAAATTGGATAAAGCAAAGCTCATCGTATTCTAAATTTGTTTATTCGATTTTTTAATGTGTACTCATGAGTACATATTACAGAATTAAAAATTGAAATTTTATTAAAAAAATAATTATTATTTCAAAGTCATCAGAACATACAATACATATTATATATGGTATTAATTTAAAGTATTTAATATAATGTTTCTGAAAGTGTCTTCATTCTTATTTATTTTTGCATTGCTAGTTTCTTTATATTTAAATGGAAAAAGTTTCGACTTGTATATATACTTAAAATACTTACCTTTATCATTCTTTTTACATTTAATCTTCTCACTCGAATAAGAAACTTTATTGGCAAATAACGTTCATGATTCCATAGACAGTAAATTGACATTGCAGGACAGACAACATGGATTTGTTGGTATCTCTGTCTACGCATTTGGGTTATTTCCTCTAACAAATACAGAAGAAGACAGAATAGCATCTCAAAGAGTCCATGATTTTTACGTTGGTTGGTAAGTTCCAGACCCTATAATTTGGCTGCTTTATTTGTTCACTTTACTTGAGACAGGTGAATATTTATGACTGTCATCAATGTTAAACCTTTTGCTTTTCTCCCTTCAGTTCCCGATAGGCCTAAAACTTGCTTTCTTTCATTGCCATAATAACGATTTTCTTTTATCTGAATTCTGAATCTATATTTTCAATTTAGCCTAGTTTGGATAACTCTAAGAGAAGTCCGAGAGAAAAAATCAATATAAAAAATTAATAAATTTTTTTATAATTAATGTATGCTTATTTATTTTTAAATAAGTTGTGAGAAGCTTAATTCATTTACTTTCTTTAAAATTTTAAAAAATAAGTTGTTTTTAATTTATAATAGAAGTTTTATTTATTTTTTATATTAATTTTTTTTCTCATACAAAGATTTATGCAAGTGTATTGGGCTTAGTATTTATACTTGAATACCCTTTCTCTCAAGTTTTGGTGATGGCTATGATGATGCACTGTGAAGAATATGGCAGTTTTACGTGCCTGCTTTATTGTAGGATTATAGAACCTTTGCTGCATGGGGACTATCCTATTTCCATGAAGACAAACGCAGGGGAAAGACTTCCAACCTTCAAAAATTGTGAATCTGAACAAGTTAAGGGTTCGTACGACTTTATAGGCCTAATTCTCTACACTGATGTTAATGTCACCGACAATTCTGACTCCTTGAAGAGCAAACTTAGAGATTACGATGCCGACGTGGCAGCAAATATCTGTTGAGTATTTTTGTTTTCTATGTTTAAGGATACTGAATTCAGTAAAGGACTAAAGTTAGACATTTAAGATTATTGCAGTGATTGCATTCACAGCATCATTTTCATTGTCATTATGAATACATTGCATCTCACTGTTTAATAGTTTTCATTAACGAGCTCAATAAAGTGCTTCGGTCATTTCTGAATCGCTTTTCTGGTCTTGACAGATGGACCGGATCTGCTTTCAAATGAAGAGGTAACAGTAAAAAATTGTGTCTCATAATTAATTGGTTTAATTTTTCCGATTACTTCACTGTAAGACTTGGTTTACATGATTCAGTACCCTATCACACCATCGGGTTTATGGGCAGAACTTGAGAAATTCAAGCTTCTTTATGGCAATCCTCCGACATTTATATATGAAAATGGTATCTCTCTCTCTCTCTCTCTCCCCCTCCATGGGGACAACTTGATTGCATCATACATTTAACCTTCCGTTCAATCATGCTCATCTATGCATAATATAACCCTTTTCCCACTTTATTTATACATGTAGCTAACAATGTCATTAGTTATGGCATACTGTGTTATATTGTGTTTTCCGAGAGTTGATTTAAGAATTGATGAAACATTTATAGTAAATGTTATCAATGATGAACTAGCAAGTTGTTGATAGAATGTGATTGTGAGTTCAAATGAGTTGCTTCACCTATCAAATTTTGGGTTGTTAGGTCAACGGACAGCAAGAAATTCGTCACTGCAAGACTTGTCAAGGGTGAAATACTTGCATGGATATATTGGTGGCGTGCTTGATGCCTTGAGGTATGCAGTTTCTTTTCTTTTGCTTACAGTGTTCACATATAATTTATAAACACGTGTGATGTGATTTCTAATTTTGTGTCATCCCAAAATTTTCTCAGAAATGGATCAAATGTAAAGGGGTACTTTGCATGGTCTTTCCTTGACGTGTTTGAGTTGCTGGATGGATACAAATCGAGCTTTGGCCTATACTATGTTGATAGGGATGATCCAGAGTTGAGGAGATACCCAAAGCTCTCTGCAAAATGGTACCGTGAGTTTTTGAGGGGTAGAAGCACCTCTGTTGAGCTTGAGAAGGATCCGTCACGTGCTTTTGCTGGCCACTTATTTGAGTAACTTCTTTTGTTTTGTCCAAGTATCTGTTCCTCGATAGGCTTACTTTTAATTTAGCATGCGGATGTTTGATTCCTAATTATTTGTGTAAAAAATATTTAATTGAAAAAAAATAAAATTTACTTTAACATCTTATGTCAGAGAAGAAATTATTAATCTTTATTTGGCACTTCAGGTCTACTACGTTTAAGTCAACTATGAATAAGTCTCAATTTGTCTATGAATGAAATAAATAATAAGGATTTATAATCTAATAGTTTTAAGTTTTGAGTTAAGTGTAATATTTAAGTTTGTATATATAATTTATTTCTAACTCATTAATAAATAAATTTTTAATATTTTAGTCCTTCCATATGCATATGTACACACAAAAATTTAGTATGTATGAAGTAAAAGAAAATAATCTAATTTTATTCAAATTTTACTTTTTTTCTAATCTCCTTATCTCGTTTTTGTTTGTGTTTAAAGGGAAAAAATTAAAAAATTATTTTAATAAAATTCAAATTTTCTTTTCAATTAAATTAATGTAAATATATTTTATTTATAAGGGTATTCATAAACTGATCTAATTTTATGTTAACTGCAAAAATTGAAGTTTTTTTTTTATTGAATTAAATTTTGGATTTTTTTCAAAACATTCGATCCCAAACTAAATTTATGTTTGCGTATATATAACTTTCTTTATGAAATTAACTTTTCATTTGTATTTATAAATTATATATTTATGAAATTGTATTATTTAATTATTTTTTTTATGATTTTACATTTAAATTTGTATCATGTTTTTATATAAATTTATATTTTACGTAAAAATAATTTTTAATTGAATTTAATATACATTAAAAAAAATGCATTTTCAATGTCTTAACTACTGTTATTATTAAGTTGATTTTTAAAATTATAAGTATTAATATTTTAGTCTTTAATTTTATAAAAAAATTAATTTTAGAAAATAATATTTATTTGATGTTTTGAAAATGTAAAATAATAATAAACAGAGTAAGAAAGATTAAAGTTAATTAATTTTTAAAAATTAAGGAATAAGGTCAAATATGTTAAAATTAAAGACTAAAATAGTTTATACTTATAATTTAAAAGATTAGAATAATAAGGTAAGTATTTATTAGTTTTTCATTCAGTTTTTCTTTTTTTTTAGAATGTCTTTTTTCTGTTGAACAATCAATTACTTACTAATTAATCATAAACAGAATATCATTTTGTCAAGCAAATCTAACTAACTCTTATTTAAAAGTTTTTAAATAATTTTTTTATAACTTTTTAAAATTTTATTAAATTTTTTTAGCTTTTTTAATTAAATTTTTTTGTTACTCTTATTTTTTTTCCTTTTATTTTATCTATTAAACATTTTTATTCTTTTTCCCTTTAAACTCTCAAACGAATTATGTTAAGGAAACTTAAATTGATTTATTTTTATATTATTTTAAAGATTAAAGTAATGATGAATTCATAATAAACATGAAAATAATAATTTTTTATTAATAAATTTTTCTCTTATGACATTTTTTTATTATAAAAATAAGTATAAAAATTGAAAAAATGGTAAAAAATATATTTGACCAGTGTTAAGGATATATATTTAATAAAATACTAAATAAGAATTAATAATTTAAATTAATATAGTTAATAATAAGTGAGTATATTTTTCTTTATTTTAATCGTTTGCTTAGACAAATTTGACTGAAGAACATTTACATGCGAATAGGTACTCAAATTTATACTTTTTAAATTTACACTTAAATGTAAAATAAAATAGGACGGGCTGAAGTTTAGTTTAACTTTTGTAATTTATGAATCTTATTTTCTATATTAAATAAAAGGTCAAATATTTTTAAAAGATCGACTTAAATTCAAAAATTATTTTGTCATAAAATTGGTTAAACAAGTTGACAAACTTGCCTAATAATATTATCATAATACTTTATATCATGTTAAATTTGAAATATTTTTTTAGTCAAGTAGACTTTAGAAAGATTGATTCTATTTAGGTGTAATCTAAATTAGACTTAACGTAGGTCATCTCATGTTTCCTTATCTCTATTCGTTATATAAAAAATATGTTTTCCATACTTAATACTTCAAAACATATATCACTAAATATGAATTAAAAATATTTTTTTAAATATGCATTAAATATGTTGTTATATAAATTTTTTATCTTAATATGCTATTTTACAATCGTATACATTTATTCTGGTCAAAATTTTTCACTGATCTCAGTGGTAAAATGCTTTTTACAAAGATATCATTTTTTAGAGATTATTAGAGCACCCTAAGCCATACATCCTGCACTTTATACTACCATCTATATCAATCCTTTTCCTTAGTACATATCAATTATCCACATTAAAAGCATGCATGCAATTTACGATATTATTAAACATAATTTTATTAAGTTTTTATTTTTATTAATTTAAATTTAAATTTTTATTAATTTTATTTATTAATATTAAATATAATAATAATAATAATAATAATACATATTTCATAAATTTTATAAACAAATTTATAATACAAATTATTAAAACTTTAAATTTTTTAAAAATATCTTATTAAAGAAGACGTGAGATGATTCTCGCAGGGCGCAATACACTGTTCATTCCTGTCTCTTTTTGTACAACTAACTTTTTAATGTAAGATTTTTATTACATAAAAACGTAAAACTTTTTGTTTGTTGAATAATTTTTTTTATATTAAATATAAGATAAAGTTTTTATATTAGTATAAATTTTAAATTTTGATTTGAATTTTTTATTTAATTTATATTTAATTATTTATAATTTATTATTATATATAAATTAAATGAATATTGAATGTAAGTGAACAGTTTATTGAGTGTAAGTATATTTACTGTAATGAATATAATGAAAAAAAATTCTTACTCGTGGTTAAATATTCTGAGAAAAAAAAATTATTGTGCATAATCTGATGATATAAGCTTGCAATATTTAAGATTGTTGTTTATTTTATATTTGCACTGAGACAGGAGTTAGAACCAGAAACATAGATGGAACAAGAAACATGTTTGAACGATGCTTTGATGCTCATTTTCTTACTTCTGAACTTGCTTTTAGGAGTGATGAGTGGTAACTATAGAAGAGACGATTTCCCTGCTGATTTCGTTTTTGGATCTGCCACTTCTGCTTATCAGGTCATGTCTTTCTCCATTCTCGTTGTTTCTTTTTCTTTCATCCCAAAGCCTTTCAGTTTTGGGTTGATATTAGTGAGTGTGGCTGCAGATTAATTAGCTTTAATTAATTAATATTAACATATGACCATGAATAGGTGGAAGGTGCTGCTAATGAAGACGGAAGAACTCCTAGCATCTGGGATACCTATGCCCATGCTGGTTAATTAATTCCTTTTTTTACTATTAAACTGCTTTTGAATGTGCTTTAAAATTACTTTAACTTAAATTCATGGTTAATCAAACACACAATTTATCTTACTATTTATTGATTTCGTTAATTGTGGAATCCTTATCTTATCTGATGCATCACTGGCACGTGGAATGTGATTATGCATTAATTAAATAATAAAACCATCCTCTTCACGAGCGTAGACTTATTTTAAGCTCTATAGTTGTAGTACATGAAAATGTTTTCATTTTTTTTTATCACAGTGCAAAATCTAATATATTAAGTCGCATATATATAAATGTTAAATTTGCATATCTAATTAAATGGTCTTACAAGATTTTAGCCACTAGTAATTGTAGGAACTAAAAATTGCCAAATTTCATTATGGATTGTTGGCTATGTACTAATCTCGGAATCTGGGATTATTAGAATAGCACGTGCAGTTTAACTACACACTTTTACTCTTTCATCCGGTGGCTATCATATAATGGTTATTCCTTCAACAAGCTATTACTTTTGATAAACAGTGTATGGGCCTGTAGAAAATGGAGATGTAGCCTGTGATGGGTACCACAAATATAAGGTAAACGATACACTAGGTTTCAATTATTTTGCTTATATTATAATTCGGTGAGTTATTTAACTAAGTCACATAATTACAATAGCTTTTGCCCAGTAATGAATTCTTTGAGTCAACTGATAAGTTGGGGAAAGTTAAATAGATCGAGGTAAAAGTGGTTAAGACCATGCAATCTGTAGTTTACTGTTACCTCCGAAAAATCTACAATGCAGGAAGATGTGCAACTCATGGTGGAAACAGGCCTTGAAGCCTATAGATTTTCCATTTCTTGGTCGAGACTTATACCAAGTATTTCACTAAACTTAAGCTGGAGTACATTATGGAAAACATCCACTTCTAATATTCTTCCTAACAAAACTTAGGTGCAGAAGCATCAGTATTGTTGGTGTTATTCACCAATTAGAAATAAAGTTTCATCATGATAATTTGCATAATAAAGGTTGGTATTAAAGGTCAATATTCATTACCTAAGTGAAACTCCAATTCTAATTAAGAATAGCACCAACATTACTTATGGTATTGCACCTAAGTTTTGTTCTATTCTTTATTTCCTTCCCAACAATGCCTTACTGAATACCTTTAAAATGTTTTTCTTTGTCCACAGATGGTAGAGGACCCGTCAATCCCAAGGGATTGCAGTTTTACAACAATCTCATCAATGAACTCATTAGCAAAGGTTAATTACAAGTTCCTTAATTTGCAAATTGCAAGATAAAACATGCCTTGGAATCGATTCTGTTTCTTCAATTAACTGCCCCTTGAACAGGAATCCAACCACATGTCACACTACACAACTTTGATCTACCACAGGCACTTGAGGATGAATATGGAGGATGGGTTAGTCGTGATATCATGTATGTTCCTGTGTTATCATAGTTGCATCAATATCTTGTTGAATTAATTCTTGAAGTTTCTGGTGTATGAATTGTGAAATAAGGTACAACACCGTTGAAACTTGGCACTAGATAGAAAGACAACATCCATCGCAATTGCTGCTTGAAAGAAGACTATATAGCTTATATTATTATTATTCTCTTTTCTTCTTTTATATTCTTGTCCTGCTTGCTTGTATGATGTTCGGCTTACTACACTTCAATATTATTTTATATTATTATCATGTATGTTTTCTTGTGCTTAGGATACAATGTCCTTATATGACTTTGATGTTAATGCAGAAGAGACTTCACACACTATGCGGATGTGTGTTTTAGAGAGTTTGGTGACAGAGTCTTGTATTGGATTACTGTGAACGAACCCAATGTTTTCGGACAAGGTGGTTATGATCAGGGAACTACCCCACCCCAACGATGTTCTCCCCCATTTTGTGCGATTAAGAGCAAAAGGGGCAACTCAACATATGAGCCTTACTTGGCAGTTCATAATATTTTGTTAGCGCATTCTTCAGCTATGAGATTATACAGGAGAAAATACAAGGTATATCACCTAACATTTTTCCATGTGTATTTTACTTCACCCAATCATTTTCTATTGGATTTAATTATTCATGCACATAAGGAAAACTTTGTCGGCAAAGATTGTTCATGATTCCATAGAAACAAAATTACATTGTAGGGCAAACAACATGGATTTGTTGGTATCTCTGTGTATACATTGCGGTTCCTTCCTCTGAAAAATACAGAGGAAGACAAGGCAGCATCTCAAAGAGCCCATGATTTTTTTGTCGGTTGGTAAGTTACAGACCCTAAAACTTCTTGTTATACTTGTCTCTCTCCCTTATGTTCTTTGTTTTTGCTCTGTACCTAGTGTCATGAGAGGTGAGTGTATTATACTAATGTATATGACTGAAGTTTATGTTCAACCCTGTGTAAATGACTGAAGTATTTTCAGTTCCTTACTTCCTTACAGGTCAAAAGCTTGTGACTTGTAATATTTTTGTTGCTAGCAATGGCTATGATAGTAATATCATGTGAAGAATATGGTAGTTTTATGTGCCTGCTTTATTGCAGGATTATGGATCCCTTGGTGCATGGAGACTATCCCATTTCCATGAAGGAAAATGCAGGTGCAAGAATTCCGTCCTTCACAGATCGTGAATCTGAACAAGTTAAGGGTTCATATGACTTTATAGGTGTAATTTTCTACAACAGTGTTAATGTCACAGACAATCCTGATGCCCTGAAGACAAGACCGAGAGATTTCAGTCTAGACATGGCTGTACAGATAATCTGTATGTCATATATTTTGTTATGTTTGAGCATACTGGATTTAAGGATTGAAGTTGATCATATAAGCATGCTGTACTATCTGCATTCACCGCCTCTTTTTTATGACGTTCTGAAAGTTTCAATTGGTTTAACCTTAACTTCATTTAGCTTCTAATTCTCCATTTATTTTTATTAATGTGATCAACCATGTCAATCACTTGGTCCTGAATAACTGATGGAGCAACCTGCTTTCCTGGGTTTTGCAGTTTTACAGGATCTATTTTCAGAGGAAGAGGTAAAGTTAAAAATAAATAAATACTAATTATTCTCATAATTAATTTAGTTTAGTTATTTAGATCAGTTCACTGGATAACTATCTGGCTTTACTTGACTCAGTATCCTGTCACACCATGGAGTTTACGGGAAGAGCTTAATAATCTCAAGCTCCTCTATGGCAATCCTCCCATATTCATTGTTGAAAATGGTCTGTATCTCTTTTTATCTCTCCTTCATGAAGATTTCATACAAAAGCGATGAATCTTTTCTAGGAAACTACTTTTTTTATATAATAATAAACATTTCTTTTGTGAAAATAGACAAACCCCTTAAATAGCATTACCATTTGGCGTCTCAATCGTACTAATGATTCTTGCATATTGGCCCCACCCCACTGTGTTTGTAAATGTAGCCTACAACATCACTACTTTGTTATATCACGTAACTATTATCAAGTTATTTTCCAATATATGGCCTTGTTCAATTGATTGGAATCGTAACTTGAGCCACGATAGATTTATTCAAATTTGGTGAAAATATATAATATATGTTGTCAATGCTGCACAAGGTGAGTTCAAATGAATTGAATTATTATTGAAACGTTGGCTTCTCTGGTTAGGTCAACGGACAGTGAGCAATTCATCACTCCAAGACGTGTCAAGGGTGAAATACTTGCATGGATTCATTGGAGGCGTGCTTGATGCCATGAGGTATGCAGTTGCTGCTCTATTTTATCTCTTTACCCACTAGATTACATAAATATTTTTCATCACTATTGCAAGAAGTTTTTAATGTTTTGGATTAGTATGGATTGTGCATCTATTGAACTATACAGTTATATTGGGTTATTGATATTCATCTTGAGAGCAAGTTACTTATATGATGAATGAAACACCATCCTACTCTTGTGATTGTGATGTGTTATGTAATTTTCTCTGTCGTCCATAATTTTTCAGAGATGGATCAAACATAAAGGGGTATTTTGCATGGTCTTTTATGGATCTTTTCGAATTGCTGTCCGGATATAATTCGAGCTTCGGCCTATACTATGTTGATCGGAATGATCCAGAGTTGAAGAGATACCCAAAGTTATCTGCAAAATGGTACAGCTGGTTCTTGAGGGGGGGAAGCAACCCTATAGTTGGAACTGTTGAACTGGAGAAGGATGCATCACTTCTTTCTGTTGGCCATTTATTTCAGTAGGCTCTGTAATTTAAGTTTGTTTTCACCAGCTGTGCTTGACTTTCGGCCTTTATAAGAATAATAAGTAAATTAACAACTTCGGATCTTATTTTTTTCACTTGTTCATAGGTGGAAGTTTGTTATTTGGAAAAAACTGCTGTGTTAATGTAATATTTTAAATAGCATTTGTAAAATAAATATAAATTAAGTTTAGAAAATATCAGTTAATTTGATTTAAATCACTCTTAAATTAATTGAAGCTAGACCATAACTTTTTTATTTTCGACTTAAAAGTTAATCCAAACTGAATTGGGAACACTCACTACTTGCTAGTGTTCACAGTTTGATGCCCAACCAGACCCTAACCAAGCGTAAGTAATGGATACACATTAATCCAACAACTTATCATGTACAAATTTTAATGTTTTTTTTGGGGTGGGGGGGGGGGGGGTACATATTTTTCAACGGTTCGATCGTTAAAAATAAAAAGTGCATTGTACCATAAAAGACAACATCGCATTGCCATAGAACAAATACTTACGAGTCTCTTATAACATTATTTTTTTTCCTTTGACCGAAAGGATTATGTTTATTGCTGTACTACATATACGCTGCCACTGTGGATCAGTGTTTGGTTTTTGGCTTCTTCACGATCATCACAGTGCAGTGAGCATGATGAGCACAATAATCACTCACACTGCCTATAAATGCCCTGCAAATCATTAAAAAAAAGGGTGTCAAGTATAATTAAATCGGGAAATTTTGAAGTGAAGCATTAGCTTCTGGCAACAATGGATGCCCATGTTTCGTTGCATTATAAATAAAACAAAAAATCAAACATACTTGAGAAAGCAATTAGTGTGATCGACGGTTAAAATGAAAATGATCATATAAAGTTTGTAATCAATAAATACGAGTAGAAAAATGAATGTAAAGACAACAATATACAGACCACACACTACTGCATTTTTGTATGCCAGTTCAAAACTACAGCTAGTATAGTTTATGCAGACACATAAACAATAGGAGCCGTTCTGGGCTGGACAATATCTGCCAAGATAGGTTTTTGTTTTTTTAACATGCCAGAACTCAACCCTGTTTATCTATGGTACAGCTTATCTACAGGTTTCAGAAAAAGGATTTATTACACTCCAATCACCTATCACTACAAAGCAACGATGATAAGTGGGACCAGAATTAAGTTGTACCTTTTTATAGCCCCATAACCATGACTGCCCACAACCAATATGGAAGCATGGTATTTTTCCACGGCATCACAGAGAACGTTTCTAGGATCACCTTCCACCACTGTGGTTATTACATCGGTTACCTGAGAACACATGAAAAAATCACGATGATACAAATATAAACCACATTTTTGTTAGCCATAAATAATAGAAACGAATATGTATATGCAAAATAAAGCCAAAATTCAATAACTTTACTCCAAAATCAGAACATGCCCAGATATTATCATAAAAACGAAAGCACCACCCAGGGAATGGTTTACTAAAAGCAATTTCATTCGAAACCATTCAAATGAAATAAAACTTGATTCAGGCTAAGAAAAATGGAAACAACAGATCTTAATAACCATATCTTGAATTTATCTTCCTTCATTGATCATATGAAGCGCAGACCACAGAACCAGCAGATGCAACGCTCTTGCTATTTGTAGGGTACCAGTTTAGCCCTGAGCGTGATGCATCTAAGTCTGAATTCTGCTCAGCCTATTACTTTTAGCGGAAATAATACCATAATACATCTCTCAGACACACCTAGGAGCAAATATCAAAGGTAGCATCCAATATCCATTCCTTGTCAAACGTAAGTACCAATAATTAATTATATTTATTCTTTATCTAGTCACAGAAATTCACCGGTTAACGATTAGAATCAGACTCATCTCTCCATTTCCCATAAATAATGAACAAAGCCATGAAAAGATGAAAATCACATACATAATAAAATTTGGAACCAGAATTAAAAAAAAAAAAACGTACGGATTTATCGTTGCAGAGTTGTACAGCGCTATCGACAACTCTGGCGGCAATCTTTTTCAAATCGGAATCGACAATAGGCAAAATATCAGCGGCTCCTGAATAGACTAAGGAAATATAATTAATTAAGTATTAATTAATTACAAAAACGTTAAAATGAAAACAGAAAAGGATGAAAAGAGTACCAGGACCAGCGAGGCCAACGGCAGACGTAGCAGAAGGGCGAGCATGAACGAGAACGAGTTTGAAGATTCGGTTTGGATCAGCGAAGAAATGATCCAAAGTCCACTTCAAGGCATAGGTGCTGTGCTCGCTGTCATCTATGCCTACAATCATCACTTGTTTCTCCGACGCCATTCTAATCAAACCAAAAACAGTTACAACAAATCACTCTATCTTTCTATTTCGCTTCGCTTCCTTGCAACGCCCAAACTCCCCAACTCATACCCCTTTTATAATCATTTTCTACGTCAAACCAAAACTACGTCCTCAAAACAACTTGCCATTTCATCATTGCCTGAAAACGACGTCGCAAGTTCTCGACCTTTGCGGATAGTGTATGGTTGGCCAAAATATTAAATCATTTATTGTTTTTAAATGTAATCAAGTCTTTTTATTCTTTTCCTTTTTATATGTACATTTTTTAAAAATATATCTTAATTTTTTTAAATATCTTGTTTACTTGTATCGCTAAAAAAATAGTATTTTTCATCTTATAAAAAAAATAATATAATTCTGTTAAATATTCAAAAAAATGTATTATTTTAATCTTACTTAAATAAAATTGCTTCTAATAAAGAATATAAATAGTCTAATATTATATGTTTTTAAAATAAAATATAAATTTAGGTATATAATTGTTTTTAATTGATTTAAATAAATTAAGTAAATATTTTTTTATAAGTATAATTTTCCTGTTGCATTCCCCAATGACTGATCAAGTTGCAGCATACGACAAAGTTGAAGTTTTCTATTTAAATATTGTGATGATCATAGAACATCCTTCACTGAGATGAGATTAGAAATAAAAGTTGTTTAAAGTATTCTTTTCTTGTTATCAATAAACTTGTTTAAAGTACAAATATGATATATGTGACATAGCATCAAATCTTCAACATTTATTCATATGAAAAGTACTTCCCAAAATGAAAAGACGTGCCATATCATCTTCTATTTTTGCTGGATGAGTCATGTATGAATCTGAAACTTTTGTCTGTTAGGCCAAAATGGAATTTCATTATATTATAGTTTTAGATCCAAAATTTAAAATGCCATTGTTTATATTAACAAAAGCTATCTTATCTTATCTTACCTCAAGTTATATGTATTTAGACAGAATCAAATATTTTATGTGGTTTTTCCAATGTAATCAAATATTCTATGATTAATCTGAAGAGCTTGATAATGTTAAAAAAAATAGACTTTTTTTTTTTTTTTTATCAAATCATGCACTCAAACGATAGGAAAATTATAGGAAAAAAAAAACTAGTATTCTTTTCCATTACATGTATGTTATTAAATTAATTTTTTAAAATAGATATATATTGTATTTTTAAAAATTTGTAAAATTAAAATATTATATATTACTATTATTATAGTAAATAACATAAGAATTTTAAAATTATGAAATAAGTTATGAAAAAATTGAATTTAAATTAAGATTGAATTCAAAATAAAATAAAATAAATGTTCAATATAGAAAAAGTCACGATGTAATAAAAAAAAAAGCTCCTAAAAGCTTTCAAATTCAATATAGCTTCGAAAGAGGTTCTTATTTGAAAATAAAAATGTAATATATAAAATTATATGGTTGAAAAATATATAACTAATATTTCTCATTAGTTTTTAAACAAAAAGAAAGTTCTCATTAGTTCCATTGAATCAATTCAGGTGGGTTATTCTACCGAATGTGGTCTTGTCAGTCTATCCCACCAGCTGCTTCGCATGAGTCACTTAGTTGGATTCTCTTGAAAAAAAACAAAGAAAATTGCAATCACAGATAATTGAACTACAAAAGGAAACTTTTTCTTATTCTTGCAGTGCCTTAAATACATTGATTTATATTTTAATTCACAATATATAACATTCTTTTTAAGTTACTCCATTTTTTATCAAATACAAAAACTACAAATTCAAAATAAATCTCACAGTCTAATATCTTAATTTATACTCTTATTCTTTTTTAAACAAAAATATGAGTTAAAAAAGAATAACCATTGATTCAATATAACCTTAGGGAGGGGAGGAAAAACAAAAATCATCTAATCCAATCAATATTTTGACTTTTTTCTGCAAGTGAGAATGCGTAGAACATGCAGCGAGCAGTTAGGATCCATTGATCCAACACATGATTTCGTAAACAACAAGGAGCCACTAATTCCCTTTCATTTTTAACCTCTTTTTTCCATTCACTTATTACTCTCTCTCTCTCTCTCTCTCTTGTTTTCTTTTTAAAAATAAAATATATCAGAGACATTCATTCCTATTCCTTCGAATTTTGTCCTTCAATGTTTCTTCCAAAACATGAAGTTCTGCAAGACTTACCAACAGTACATGCAAGAGCAGGGGCGAAAGCTCCCTGCTGTTGGCTTCAAGAACCATAAAAAGATCATGAAAAAATGCAGAAGAGGCTCCCAACCCCTTACTCAATCCTTCGCCATCAAAACCTGCCCTGATCATTGCCAAGGTTCATCATAACCCCAACCTTTTCCAAGCTTTTCATTCATATTCAACCAACCTTATTAATGTAATTATTAGGTTCATGCTTGGATTATTGGTTAAGGAATTAGAAGCAGAAACTATGTTAGACTAAGTTGGAAATCACAAGAGGAAATATATTTATTATAGTTTTTGACGAAAAAAAAAAAATTTATTCCTCAGTAAGTGCCCATTTGCCTTATTATTATGGCATGAACATACATGATCATCAACACTCATGCATTTCAAATTGTCTAAGCTAACTTACTGTAATTATTCAGTGTGCGATGGAACCTTTTTCCCTTCCCTTCTCAATGAAATGTCAGATATAGTAGGGTGCTTCAATCAGCGCGCGCAGAAATTGCTGAAACTACATCTTGCTTCTGGTTTTCGAAAGTACTTTCTCAAGTTGAAAGGAAAATTACCAAAGAATCATACTGCTCTAACCCAAGAAGGCAGAGATCTAGTCATATATGCATTGATAAATACCATAGCAATTCGAAAAATACTGAAGAAATATGATAAGGTCTGTCTTTGTTTTTGTCCTAGTTTCCTCCTTACAAGTCTCTGTATTTTATGTTCGTACTTACTACTATGACTGCAGATTCATTATTCCAAGCAAGGGCAATTATTCAAGTCCAAAGTTCAGACTATGCACAAGGAAATTCTTCAGAGTCCCTGGCTTGCTGAGCTTATTGCCTTACACATCAACCTAAGGGAAACTAAAGTCAAAACAAGGAAGGCACCTGCATTGTTCGATGGATGTTATCTCACATTTAAGGATGCAAAACCATCGCTTACTTGTGAGATATTCGATTCTGTCGAAATTGATATTGACTTGACTTGCTCTCTATGTCTGGTAAGTTGGTTTCATTTGTTGTCTATTTTCATTTGGACTGTACATATGCTGAGGTTGTCAATTTGAAGATTACCCCTGCTCTCATGCATGCACAATCGAATCAATTTAAAGGATCTACGATGGAATTTAAAACTGAACAAGCTTCATGGTTCCACCAAAAGTTATGCTTGCTTATAGGCCATGTTATTTTTATATGGTTTCAAATATCAGTTTTTCTAGCGAGTACCAAAGACACATGTTAAGAAATCAATAAATAATAAGATTTTATTGAAAATGGTGTCATTTAATATTACCTGTGCATTTGATCTTGTAATTTTTAATAAAAACATATTATATATAAGTTTTTATTGTGTGTTCTTAGACACGATAGAAAAACCGTTAAAATATTTTAGATTTGTCGATGAGTTTCAGAATCCACATCTCCTCGTATTGTCCAATATTTTCCCAGCATTTTGCCCCAAACTTTTGGTTTTGAATCACATTAACAATATCACCTTAGTTTCCTCAATATTAATCCATGACAGGATACAGTATTTGACCCAGTTTCTCTGACTTGCGGCCACATATTCTGCTATACCTGCGCTTGCTCAGCAGCATCAGTAACTATTGTCGATGGACTTAAGGCTGCGGATCCTAAAGCAAAATGCCCTCTATGCCGACAGGTAAGCTACCAGATATAGCAAGCATTAAGCTCTCCTACAATTACATTATTTTCAACGGGAATGTACAAAGGAGAGATGTTCGTTCTGATTACATAAATAACTTCTATTAATTGAAACATATGACACATGTTAATAACTTGTGAATGCACCCTTTACAGGTCATTAGAGCCAATGGATGGTGATTGAAGTTATACTTAATCTTAATTATAATGCAATGGCCAGACAAAATTTCAATGCCAAACAAAAAAGCAGCAGCTAAAATTTAATAACCAAACCTGCGCATGAGACCACTCCTTTTCTAGGCTGCATTTGTCCTTCAATTTAAAATGGTTACGGCTTTATAATTTACTTTTATCATTGAAACCTTAGAAGTTGAATAATCTGAGCAGTCCTTGTGTAATTCTTCATTTCTTTATTTTAATATTGTGACTATTAATAAACAGCAGTTTACAGGAAGAATTGTTTACATATAAAGAGGGCCTGCTAAGAGTTGGCATATGAATTATTAATTTGTTTGTTATCGGATTTGAACCTGTTAAAATGGCTAGCAATTTACAATTTTTTATATTGTTGACTGCAGGGAAAAGTTTATAAAGATGCTGTGCACCTGGAAGAGTTAAACATTCTTTTAGGCCGAAGGTATGATACCGATTATTCCATTAGAAAATGAGTGAGATTAGAATGAGAGATGTCATGCGGTCCAAGAAATGGATGCACAAATCCTCATAATCTCTGCTCCAATCCTTTTTTTTACCATGAGAAAATAAATATATTTTGCACATCTCTTAACCTAATAAAGTTCAATATATTTACAGCTGCAAGGCGTACTGGGATCAAAGGCTTCAGATGGAGAGGGTAGAAAGGGTTAAACAAGTGAAGGAATATTGGGAAACGCAATGTAGGGCGTTCGTGGGCATCTGAATAGACAATCAACTTCTATTGGATAGTAGTTTTAGGTTGAAATGTTGTGCATCTATTCGATGTGTTATATATATATATAAGGATGGTAGTTCTAGGTTGAAATGTTGTGCATCTATTCGATGTTATATATATTTAATTTTGTATCTGATAGGAACTAAGTATGTTTTTGGAATTTACACCAAAACCTCAGGGAACCCCCTAATAGTACAACAGAAAAATAAGAATAGTAGAAAAGCAATAATAATTAAAAATGGAAACTTCCCTAGGCAGCAGCCACCTCCCAATCACTTCCTAGATTATCTCCCCCTCTCTCCTCTGATCAATCTACCTTATATCCCCTCCCTCAGCTGCTCTCTCCCTCCTCCATGTCATTCAATTTGTTATTCCGTTAAAATCTTTCTTGACAGCCTCCTTGCTCATAATTCCCTTTTTACCCCTCCTTCTCTGATATGTTTGGAGAAGAGGCCCAATTGGTCTGGACCCAACAATACCCTCTCCATTGAGAAGAACCTTATCCTCAAGGTGGAAGTGCGGAAATATGGCCTGCAGCAGATCAACTTCTTCCCAAGTGTTGTCCTCCTCCAGCAGTTTCTTCCATTTAATCAGGACCTCTCTATCCATTCATGAGTTTCCGGGCATCCACCACCCTTTCAGGCTCAACTTGGAGCTCAAATTCTTCTGTTAAAAATAGGGGCAGAGCCTGACTTGGTTGACTAGCAGGAGGGCTCTCTTCAGCTGAGAAACATGGAAAATAGGGTGCACTCGTGATGATTCTGGCAACAATAACTTATAGCAACAACTCCTATTTTTTCTTTCACACAAAAGGGGCCATAAAATATGGGGCTCAATTTTTCATTTACTCTCTTTGCTAATGACTTCAACCCATATGGTCAAGCCTTCAAGTACACCATGTCCCCAATGTGATATTCTACTTCTCGCCTGCCCTTTCATCCTCCACTGTGCTCTAAGTAAGTGTTGCTTAAGCTCTTCTATGATGTTGTCCCGGAAGAGCAATAATTGGTCTACCTCAGCCACCATAGTACTATCCCTACAGTAAGGGTCAATCATATGAGGGTCTTGGCCATAAAGTGCCTTGAAGGGGTCATCTTAATAGAAGCGTTGAATGAAGAATTAAACCAAAATTCTCCCCATGGCAACCAATGCACCCATTGACGTGGATGATCACTCGCAAAACATCTCAAATAGGCTTCAATGGTGCGATTGGTAACTTCTATTTGGCCATCTGTTTAAGGATGGAAAGCTAAACTGAATTTCAACTTGGTGCCCAAGAGACGAAACAATTCCTTCCAAAATGAACTAATGAAAATCGGTCCCGATCTGAAACTATGGATGTAGGAAAACCATGCAAACGAACTATTTCTTTTACAAACACAACAGCGACCTCCTTAACCGAGTATGGGTGAAGTAAGGGGATGAAATGAGCATATTTGCTTAGCCTATCGACCACCACCATAATGCTGTCAGCACCTTTAACCTTGGGAAGTCCGCCAATAAAATCCATCGAGATGTCTTCCCATACATGCATGGGAATGGGTAGGGGCTGAAGTAAACCTGTAGATTTCAAGGTTTCATGCTTGTTTTGTTGACAAATCTAACAACTAGCAATGAATTTTTTCCACATCCCGCTTCATTCCTGTCCAATAGAAGACCATGGCCAACCTCTTATAAGTCCTTGTCACTCCAGAATGGCCCCCCAAGGTGAGGCATGGAATTTTGCCAACAATAATGGGATGCGGGCCGACGCCTTAAGGAGGACTAGTCATCGCTTATACCACAAACATCCTTGAAAGATTGCATAGTGTGGATGGGAATTAGAATGAGACACTAATTGTTGCATGATTCCCTTCAGCACTTCATCACCAAGGACCTCCTCAGCCAGGTCAACAAGGTCAGCATTAGTCACCATAGATATAGTGTTATAACTCATCACCCTAGACAATGCGACAACCGCCTTGTTTTCTAGTCCTTGTTTGTACTGAATTTCAAAGTCGAACCCCATTAGCTTGGTACCCATTTCAGCTGTTCCCCTGCCAGAACCCTTTGCTCCAAAAGGAATTTCAAACTCTTTTGATCAATTCGGATAATAAAGTGAGTGCCTAACAGGTATTGACGCCATTTATGAACAGCAAATACAATGGCCATTAGCTCACGTTCATAGATTGATTTCACCTTATTTCGGTCTAATAAAGCTTGACTAATAAATGCTAGGGGTCGTCTTTGTTGCATTAAAACTACCCCAACTCCATAACCTGAGGCATCAATCTCAATTACAAATGGTAGGTCAAAGTTTGCCATGGCTAAGGTGGGCAAAACCTCCATCTTCCTCTTAAGCTGGACAAACGTTGTTTGTGCTTCCCCTGTCCATTTAAAATTATTCTTCTTCAGTAATTGAGTGAGGGGTTTAGCAATAACCCCTCAGACTGCGAATGTCCTTAAGTGCTGGCCAACGGGGCATAGCAGAAATTTTTTTAGGGTCAGCCGAGGATATAATGTGCCCAAGATACTCCAGCTGTGATTCTCCAAAACTGCACTTCTTACCATTGATCCACAGCTCCTGGTTTCTCACATGAAGAACTACACTCAAGTGATCAATATGAGAAGAGTAATTTGGGCTATACACTAAAATATCATCAAAAAAAGACTAGTACAAATTTTCGTAAATAAGGTTTAAAAATTTGATTCGTTAAAGATTGAAACATTGAGGGGGCAGTAGTTAACCCGAAAGGCATTACCACATACTCGTAGTGTCCCTCATGCGTTCAGAATGTTGTCTTTTGTATGTCCTCTGGCCTCATGCGAATTTGGTGGTAGCCTGACTTCAAGTCGAGTTTAGAGAAGACTATGACTCTGCCCAGCTCATCCAGCAGTTCTTCAATGACTGGGATAGGGAACTTGTTTGGGACTGTGAGACTGTTAAGGGCGCAGTAATCCATACAAAAACACCAGCTACCATCTTTTTTCTTGACAAGAATCAATGGGCTAGAATAGGGGCTGGTACTGGGTTTGATCAAGCTTGCTACTAGCATATCCTTGACGAATTTTTCAATCTCCTCTTTGTGGCGCTGCGGATGCCGATAAGGACAGATGTTAGGGATGGTTGATCCCTCTTTCAAAACTATGGCGTGGTCACATACTCTTGGAGGGGGAAGATTTGTTCCCTCTTTAAACAGCCCCCCAAACTCCCTCAATAACTCCTTTATCGCCTCTGGAGCTGACGTTGCTACCTGAGTGGGTAACTCTGTATCCTAGTGTGATCATGCCCAATTCCACATAATAAGCCTCAGCCTCCCCTTTTAACTCCTTTCTAATAGCCTTTAAAGAGGCCACTGTCTGCGCTAGTCCCACGTCCCCTTTCACCTCAATCGTTTTTCCATCCTTGTGCACCTCAATCAAGTGTTGTCGTAAGTCAGCATTGAATTTCCCTAAGCTCTTGAGCCATTCATACCCCAACACCACATCCACCCCCACTAAGTTAAACAAGAAAAAGTCTTGAATGACTTGTAAATTAGGTAACTCCAACACCACCCCCTTACAAACCCCATGGCTTCCCAACCTTTGCCCATCCCCCACTTCCACGAAATACCCTTTGTGGCCTCTGTGGGGATATTTAGCTCTTCCACCAAACCTGGAGAAAAGAAGTTGTGCGATGCCCCCGAGTCCACCATTACAATTACCCTCTTACCCGAGATCAGTCCCCATAACTTCAATGAGTTCTTTGAAGTCATACTGGCGATACTACTGGCATTTAGTTGAAGATTTACCTCTTCAGCTTCATCCTCCTCGAGAACATTGACTTGGGTCGCATCTTCTTCACCCAATAGAATGACATGGAGCTGCTTATTGCGACATACATGGCCCGACAAAAACCTCTCATCGCAGCAAAAACAGAGCCCCCTCCGTCGCTTCTCGTTCTCCTCTTCTTCAGTCAATTGTTTGAACCCCAAGCCTCTACGATGTGAGGAAGAGGAGATTAGGTCGCGAGAGTGATTTGGACTCCCTTGCGTCTCAACCCGATTGCTATTGGTGCGATTAGAAGCCCTAGGCCCAAGAGAATAAGTGGGTTCGCTTCTTCTAGTCCAACTTTGCCTAGGCACGTATTGGGCTCCGCTGGTTTCGGCCCAAATGAGAGGCCCAACACCCTATTTTTTTTCGACTTTTTGGGCCATCTCCATCATCGTGCTCAAATCCCCTGAATCTCTCAACCTAACCTCTGCTTTGATTTCTTCTTTCAGGCTGTTAGGGAAGGCCCCAATCATGAATTCCTCATCAGCGAATCGTAGCAGAGCAGAGAACAGCTCGAATTACTCCCTGTACTCCATAATCGTTCCGCTTTGTTTCAGTCCCATTAATGCCTCGTAGGGATTCTCCCAAAGCTTGTCGAAACGCCAGCTAGGTGGTGGTTGGTACCCGCGGCTCCCACCATTGATACCAATTGAGCGCCTTCCCTTCCAAATATACTACAACCGTATCCACCTTCTTTGCTTCTGGAATGGCATTAATTTCGAAGTATCGCTCTGCCCTGTACACCCATCCATACGGATCATCCCCCGCGAAATAGGGCACTTCCACCTGTTTCACCCTTTCCTCCCTCCTCCAAGTATCGCCCTCTCCATTGCCCCCTTCGGTGTTATCATTGGTTCCTTCCTTTTCTGCCCTCATCACCTGTAGAGCCGATTCCAACCTGGTCATCATTGCTGTCATCATCTCCTCCTTCTGTCTCCTGAACTCCTCCTGCATAGCAACCTGCATGCCCTCCAATCTTCGTTCGACGTTTTCCAGCTTGTTCTCCATTCTCGTCGACACCATCAGACGCTCCTAGGATCAAGAGCTCTGATACCAACTTGATAGGAACTATGTTTTTGGAATTTACACCAAAACCTCAGGGAAACCCCCTGATAGTACAGCAGAAAAATAAGAAAAACAATGATGATTAAAAATAGAAACTTCCCCTAGGCAGCAACCACCTCCCAATCACTTCCTAGATAATTCCCCCCTCTCCTCTAATAAATCTACCTTATATCCCCTCCCTCAGCCGCTTTCTCCCTCCTCCATGACATTCAATGTCATTCAATTTGTTATTCTGTTAGAATCTTCCCTGACAGCCTCCTTGCTCGTAATCCTCTTTTTACCCCTCCTTCTCTTCTATGTTTTGAGGAGAGGCCCAATTGGTCTAGTATCTTTGTATCTAAGCAGCATCAATTTTTAAAGGTAACACCTGAATTTGATCAATGTATAGGCTTCTACGTTAGCAATTGTTACCGATGGCCATTTGCATGCCAAGACAATTTATGTGTAGCAAATATAATAACTGACATTCAATGAAAGGAACCAAAAATTAAATTAAAAAAATAAAAATATAAGAACTGGTTTTGCAAATGTATATAAACCATAATTCAAATTAGTGAGATTACTTCAAACATACAGCAGAGGGCAACACATGATGTCTCTATGAAGCCTAGCGCGAAAAGTCTAAACAAACAGGAGACTCAAATGCACCCATCCTCCCCAACAAAAATCCACCCACAATTTATAAATTCGAAAACATCAACAAAATTTCCCAACGACCATACATGCTAGACAATCACATCCTCAGTGTCACAAAATTTTGGTGAAATGACCGGATCCAATCATTTCCACGTGCAAATTGAGAAAGTTGTCCCCACAGATAAACCTTGAATTTCATTTGGTCAAAATGAGCGGATTCTTATTTTGATACATATGATACCTCATGCACAGCTTCTGTAAGGTTCCAACAGAATGCTGCATGGGATTTAGCTTTATATCCAGCAACATACTCTGGGAAAAAGAACAAAAACGTAAGCACAATTTGTAAACCTTTAAACCAAAAATTCGGAAAATAAATGTTTTATGATTTAAGCTCGCGAAAAGAGCCAAACTCAAAAGAATAGTTCATTATACATTTTATTCTACTCTGACTGGACATTTTGTTAACTGGGTTTTTAAGCATCTAACAAAAATAAGTTTTAATATATATAAAAATTTATTGTGTTAAAGATTTAAAAGTTTAACAAGTGTTTCTATTTCCAATGAAAATTTACTTTAATTAAACAAAACTGAAAATAAAAAAGCCAAATATCGAAAATCCAACCTTATAATCATCACCGTATTTCTCGACAAGACGACCAATATGAAAACGTTGCATCGCAGTCAAAGGCTGAGGAGCTACAGTTTTCCCGTCTCTTCGCTTCTTTCCTAGGGCTGATTTCAAGTCTACACCAAACAAATAGAACATTAAATTATTTGCATTTCAAAATATCAACAATTCGTGATATTAGGCAAGTGTTCAAATCAATCATCCTCTAATTAATTGTTTAGCTTGATTGGTAAAACAAAATATCTAATTAAGCATGTCGCAACCAATAGAACACGACAAATTCAGAATAACACACCGTCTTCTTCGAGCTCGCTGCCGGAATCGATGGAGTCATCGGTTTGGGGAGGGAGGAAGTTGGGATCGGAGGCGACACCGAAGGAGTTGTAGTTGTAGTTAACGGTGCCTTGGTCGTCCCATTTGGGCTCGTAGGCGAGGGATTGCAAAAGCTTTGGGGGAACAGAGAAAGAGGGTTTGAAAAGCCTAGGGTTCTTCTTTGGCAGACCCACTCGAACCTTCGTTCTCGATTGCTTGTATTTTCTTCGCGACCTTCCCATTCTGTTTGTCTCTCACCCGGGGACTGTGAAAGTAGAACCAAAAGGGTTTAACGAGGGATTTTGATTTGTTTAGGTTAGGGCATAAAATGTTCTATATTCAAGAACTTCTTCAACGATGTCGTTTCCTCTACTTCTCTTCGCTATCAATATCACCGTACAATACGATGGTGCCTTGCAAATTTTAATAAATAAATCAAGTAAACGATAAAAATAAGTTTTTAAAAAAAAATTATTTTTAAAAACTATTTACCAAAATAATGCAAAAATTAAAAAATTATACATTATAGTTATACAAACTTGGCATATGCTATACATGCACGGTGTATTGCATTTCGCAACCCGCAATATTTATAAATTGAAATTTTGAAATAATTTTTAATTTAACTTATATATATATATATATATATTAAAAATTATCAAAATTTAAAAATATTTTTGTGTGTAAATAATATAAAAATTATTTTTAAAAATTTAATTATTTTATAATAAATTATTATTAAAATAAAAAAATCATAAAATAGTGACTGAATAAATTATTATATTTAATATTTAATAAGTATTAAAAATAAAATAGAATAAGATAAATTATTCTTTTATGTTCTCTTGTTGTGATGACTGAATTGACTTTAATGCTTCCAAGTGTAGAGATTAAAAAAATTTCATGGATGTTTTGTTTTACACGAGTAAAAAAAAAATTCAAGACCCACTGAAATGCTTTCTTACACAAAATGGTAAGATTTTGTGTGAAAAGAGTGGTAAGCTTTTTTATATTGTATTAAAAATAAATTTAAAATGATTAAAAATTTTACTTAATTAAGAAAAAATATATTAAAATTTTGATTTTTTAAAATTATTATTAAAAAATATTTTCATATAAATTACATATATATTTTTTATTCTCTTTTTCATTCATTTGAGTAAACTATTCTTTTTTACTATTTTTTATTTATGTCCGTTTAAATAACATTTATTTCGCGCATAAAAGATAATTTAAGCAAAGTCATGTTTTATTTTTCACTGCACTCTTCCGTCCCTTAAATACAGGCAACAACATTTAACACCCAAAATAATACATTAATGTCATAAGCAAGTGCACAATTAGAAGTTCATAGTATATTATTAATGATGCATAATTCAATAATGTAGGACCTACAATTGCTGTGTAACTTTAGGTGAATGTAACTAGAAGAATACATCATTTTTAACTTGTCAAAATAGTAATACACGGACGATGAATGAGGTCGTCTTCGAATTATTTGGAACGCTCTACACTAGTTTTCAGCATCTACAAGAAATTGCCATTTTCCCTTCACATGGCACTTTGAAGATCAATCAAAAGGCTTAGCCTTTAGAATGTTATGTTTCATTTCTGGGTTTTCGTTACTTTGTTGCTATACTATGGATTGATGAAGGTTTCTTATCATAGCCCACTCGAGCGGTTAGCATACTCTTGAACTAAAGCCCCAAACAGTGATTGCCTTTGTAGCAAGTTCGATGGTTTGTCAAATTCTCTTGCTCGCCCTGTTAAAAGAAAAAATGTTTAGAAACTTAATATAATCACGTTTTAACATCCAAGTTATAACTTGTAGCGTTAAAACAGAGAGTGAGTGGTGAAAATAATATAAAATCTTGGAATGAGAGAGAGCAAGAGAGAGTAGCATACCTGCATCTACAACTAGAACTCTATCGCAGTCCATGACCGTTGGTATTCTATGAGCAATGCTGATAATAGTACGTGCAGCGAAGTCTTCTCGGATGATCTTCTGAATTACAGCGTCGGTTTGAGAATCAACAGAAGCTGTTGCCTCATCCATAAACAACAACCTGCTTTGCTTTAGCATAACCCTCCCTAAACAAAGCAACTGCCTCTGCCCCACACTCCAGTTATCTCCATTATCAACCACTGTATATTCAAAAACATTCCCATTAGAAAGAAAATTAAAAAGGGGTGCAAGCGAAATTCAGCACAGCTCAAAGAAAATGGTATTAGAATCTTTGAAACCTGAGGAGTCAAGCTTTTCAGGCTTCGAAGCTACTACATCTTTTAGTTGACAACGTTCCAAACTCTACAAAAAGAAAAAGAAAAAGTGGTGAGAATGAGACTAGTTAGGCCAATGATAGCAAAAACTTCCGCCACTGAAGTGTGTGTGAAAAAGTTTATGAGAAGAAGGAAGAATAGCAACGCACTCTATAATACACACCATTCTTAATGATTAAAATTTATTAAAAATTAGAAGTGTGTTAAAAAAGTATTATTAGAAAGTGTGGTGTTAGTATTTGTCAATGAAAATAATTCACTACTATGGTCAAATTTATGTCTTGAAGTATTGAATAAAAAACTTTATTAAATAAGTATTTAATCAAACTGTATTTTCAAAATCACCCTGAATTGATGAATTGGCTTGAGGGTATTCACCTTCCATATATCTTCATCTGTATACATTCCAGTTGGATCAATGTTACTTCTGACAGTTCCTTCAAAAAGGACAGGCTCCTGAGGGATGATTCCAAAGCGTGATCTAAGATCATGAAGACCTAAGGCGGATATGTCAATGCCATCAATGATTATTTTCCCTCCTGAAGGTTCCACCAGTCTGAAGAAAACTTGAATCAAAGTTGATTTTCCACTCCCAGTTCTGCCAACAACACCAACCTTTTCTCCTCCATTGATGCTTAAGGTGATGCCTTTAAGAACCAAAGGAGTGTTTGGACGATATCTGACCTGTTTGCCACAAGATTAAGTTATTATTAATTTATCATAACAAAGCAGTGCGTTGCTCAAAGCAGATTGATAATGAAAAATACATCACTAGAACTGTTGTCAAGGATAGTTGCATAGACAAATATACCAATAACTTGATTTGCACATACCTATTTAGCTTCATACAAAGAATTTAATTAAAATAGACTGTGTAATTTTTTTACATTAATATTTAATCAGAAATTACCACGACAAGTAAATATTGTTGACTTTCATAATATTTAATTGGTTAACAAAGCAAAAATCTTATATCAAAATTAAACTCTAAACATTACAATAATTATTTATAAAAAAAATTAAAAATAAAATAATTTTTTTCATAAATTAAAATCAACTTACACTCCTTTTTTTTTTTTCAAAAACTCTTTTCAGCTTTTATAAACTTTATCGTGCTTTGAAGCCTTAATAATAAGATTTTTACAATTAAAAGCTCTCACAAATTAGAAGTTATCTAAATTGGGCCACAGATGTGTAAAAAAATTCATCTCAAGAAACAATGAATTTGGCTATATTATAGATACCTGCAAGTCTTTGATATCAACATGGCCTTGACCGGGCCAATTTGAAGGAGGCAAACGATCCTTAATGTTCCATTCTGCTTCCGATGGAATATTTGTGAACTGTTTAATCCTCTCAACGGATACCATTTTGTTTTCAATGAAACAGCTCATATATATTGACCAGAACATCACGGCATTTAATGACAATCCATATGAGAGAGACATTCCAACATTTTCTACATCAAGCAGAACAAGTCAGTCACCTTTATATCCCATTAAAATTTTCATATAATATACTTCACGTTTCAGATGATTAATAATATGATACAATTATGTTAGAAGAAAAAAAAAACATTTTTTATCAAATAAATATCCACCATGAGTGATTGTAGGATTTATTAATTAAATTTCATAAAAGTTACATCCTTAAAGAAGCTTGTATATAGTATTATAAGGAATTTGCAAAGAATTTTGAATGGAACAGCTACTAGTTGCAAGAATTATTAATCATAGTAACAACCAAGAATTACTAAGAAAGATGAAACCAGATATATTGTGAAGGATGATGACTAGATTAGGGAACCATTTGACAAATCCTATTATAGTAAGTTTACCTGGCTTTATGATACTGCTGGGTAACATGATCATGAACAGAGCCGAACAGCAAAAAACAAAGCTTCCAAGTAATTCTAGGCGGAAACCCAACCACGCATTGGAACTGAAGTTGTGGAAATCCATTCTCAAATTAGCGTTCACTCGTTTGATATTTTCTCCACAAAATTCCTTTTGCTTTCTGAATGCGCGAATTGTCATGACCCCGGAAATGCTTTCTGAAAAATGATGAATCACAGGTGCTTTTGTAATTGAATCCAAGCGAGTTAGCTCACGAGATGAAGCAAGAAAATAACCCTGCAAAACCCAACCGTTTTAAGAAAGTCGTTATACCACAGCTACCTAATTACTTTAATATTTGAAGTTACAGATTAATCCTATTTATTTTTGTCTCCGGCCTCGAAAATTTCAAGGATATAGACAATGATTGTCAATCTAAGAAAGAGAGAACATTAATAAATCTATGTTATGTCTCATGCTTTAAATCTTAAAATATGCCAGCAATACATTGGACTAACAGAACAACCATATACATACCCGGTACCAAATGTTTAACCAAGCAAGAGGAATTAACAAGAAAGCTGTTGGCCAAGAGTTTTGACATGTGATAATGAAGATGCTAATCACTGTAATGTACATGGCCACCACAAAATTCAGGAACAAGGGGATAAAGATGTCAACGTTGGTCTGATCAGTGGATGCCTGTAGAAGTGTAAGAAAAATAAAAGTCATCTACATGTGGACCGGAATAGACAGTAATGTAGTAAGTTTATGTCATTCTGAATTAGGTCGTCATTGCATGTAATACTTAACACAACACACTTGAGCCTTCAAGTTCTTACCCTGCTTAGAATTCTCCCGGATGGAGTAGTGTCAAAGAAAGACATGGGGGCATGCAATATGCTATGAAGAATTTGAGAGAAGAAAATCTGTGCTGTCTTTAACCCCAAGATTGTAACCCAGTAGGATCGTAGCACAATCAAAATAACTGAAACTGCAGCAATAATTGCATAGATGGAAATAAACAAGGAAGGATTAAAAAGCTGAGCACGCTCTTCAGATGTTTCATATGCCAGCCAATAATCACTTGCCATCATAGCTGCTTGCCACAACACAGAAAGAAAGATTACTCCTATAATCCCCCACCAACCAAAAGCCTCAGTGCAGTAGAGTTTATAGATATGGAAGCTAACTTTCCCAGTTTCTCTCTCCTCTTCTTTGATGAGTTTAGAACCTTCCTTGCCAGACTTTGGCTGCTCAAGTGAATTGCTTTCACCATTTGCTTCTTTGTTGTTAGAAGCTGCCCTTGGAGATTTCATTGGTTTGTTCAAATTTTCCCCAGGCATGCCCGCACCTTGCTCTACTAGTTCCATAGAGGTCTCGTGTGCTGCTACAAGTGCACTGAAATCCATTCCAGAAGCAAGTAGATCATTGTACTTCCCTGATTGGACTATTGTTCCCTCCCTCATCACCTTTAAGCAAGCAAACATATGTATTTGAATCACCCACCAAGTTAATTGAAGATTGAATGAGACAACATTACAGGACTAGAAAAAGAGACTTACCATTATAAGATCCACATTGTGTAGGAAATCTACTTGATGTGTTACAAGAATAACGGTCTTGCCTTTTAGAGACCCTCTCACGCATTCCTGTATTAAAGGACTCTGATTTAAAATTTGGCTAAACTAACAAGCAAAGCATAATTATGTAAATAAACAGCTATGTTTGTACACTTAAATTACTAATCAAACAAACTGAATTCTACCTCATTTCTTAATGCAACAATTCAATAAGATGACTTCAAGCAACAAACATTACAGAATGCTGAGAGGGGAAACAATAAAAGAAAGATTAGAGAAACCACCTTGAATATTTCAGTGCCAGTATGTGCATCAACAGCACTGAAGACATCATCAAGAAGATATATATCAGAGTCTTGATATACAGCCCTGGCAAGTTGTATACGCTGCTTCTGACCCCCACTAAGGTTGATGCCACGCTCTCCAATCTCTGTCTGATCCCCATGCTCCATCATTTCCAAGTCTTTCTCCAAGCAACAAACCCTCACAACTTCATTGTACTTCTGTCTATTCATTGGTAAATCAAAGAGAATGTTTTCTTCTATGGTCCCATTCTGAATCCAAGATGTTTGTGCAACATAAGCAGTACTCCCACTAACTTTAATCTGTTACCAAAATATACAATCAGAAATGAACATCATGGTACAAATTAGAGACTGCATGGAAAAGAAAATAAAGTTCACATCGCCAAACAAAAATTTATATACCTTTCCCGAAATTTTGTGCATTTCACCAAGAATTGATGCAAGGAGAGAAGATTTTCCAGACCCCACAGTCCCAACAATAGCTGTAAGCTCCCCTTTATTAATCTCCAAATTAATGTTTTTCAAGTCTTGCACTAGGCCATCATCATCCCAGCTAAAAGTCCCATCAGTGACCTCCACAGCAGTGTGTCCATCACACCCTTCCTCTCTCTCAACCGAATCATTTAACAATTCCCTGCTAGACATGTACCTATCTAACCTCCCAAGTGACACCAATGCTTGTGAAAGTGATATCATAGACTGAGGAAAGGTCCTAATAGGTTCCTGCAGGATCTTAAACACAGTTGTTGTGGTGAAAACCGTGCCTGCATCAAGTGGAACTCCAAGAAAAATTGCGGTACCAAAGGTGAGAGTTGATATCAACATTGGCGTGCTCCACAGCACAATAATATTGCTGCAGATTGAGTACAAAAACTTGGAAAGCCAGTCAAACTCTGACTTACGGAAACCCGAAATTCTCTCATTGAAATGCTCTTCCCATGCTTGGAACTTGATGACACGCATGTAGTTAAGCATCTCATTAACTGCTTTCATTCTTGAGTCCCGGTTCATCATTGCATTAAACTGGAAACGCTTGTTTCTCTTAGTAGCCACCACAACAAAGGCAAGAACACCAAGAAGTCCAACCAAAGCCGTGAGTACTGAAGCACCTAGACAATTGTAAAGCAAAAACAAGCCAATACCAACTTGAAATGGCATCATCCACACAGCATGTAACTGAAGCATCATATCAGATAATTGCTGAGTATCCACAGCCATGTAATTCACAATGGGACCAACCCCATGATCCTGCCTAGCGGAACACGATAGCCTCAACCCCTTCTTGTACAAGGAAGTGATAAGAGTGCATCTGATAAGCATCCCAAGCTTCTGAGAGTTGAAGTTGAAATGGTGAGTGGTCAAAACTTCTACAAATTTGGCACACAATAGAACCAACACGAGGTAGTAACCTTCATATGGAGAGCTACCCTTCCCTGATGTGAAATCAACAAAACTTTGAATGAGAACTGGCCCTACAAACATGACACATAGCCTAACAACAGCAAGGAAAGCAGTGAAGGCTATCTCCTTCCAGAAACACCGAACCAACGTGGTTCGAACCGGGTGCTTCGACCTCTCATCTGATTTAGGCCACTTCGATTCAAAGATAACTGACATCCTCTCTGCTCTATGCTGTGGTGAAAGTGAAGGAATTTCATCAATCTTCAGCGGTGACTTATAACCTTTACTCAATAAGGGGTTTATCCATATCCAAAAGGCCTTGGATACTGCAGAAGCTGAAGCAAAGCCAGTAACATTGGATTTGTCATATAGTTTGGTTTCATCATCGATAAGCGATTGTGTTTCTTCTCTGGACTCGATCCCGGTGGACCCTTTAACAGCAACACAAAGTAGAAACAGTGATAGAGGAAGAGAAATGAAGGAGACTATATCATCAACCATAAAGCTGAAGTTAATCCCGTCTTCCAATTCCACAGATACCAAACGTATAACCCCAGAAGCTGTGAACAAAGAAACGATAATGAAACTTGCAATCCAATATATTCTAAGCGACAGAGGATGAACAACAGCTTCAAATCTTTTCTCATGGATGATTAGGATTGCAAGCACTAATTGTGTTACGGCCTGAACTAACCAGAAGAGTCCATCAATTTGCTTCCATGGAACTTTGGTGGAACTGCTAAATAACAGAATGCAAGCGACAGTGTACAATATTGTCAGAACAGCTGATACAATTAGAGTTAGTTTAAACCATAAGGTTGTTCTGTCAGAAGCCGCGTTGTTTCTGATAAGGGGCTTGTTGAGCTCTGAGTTGGGGTTGCCATTGGAAGTGAACCTAGAATAGAGCTTTATAACAGCAAACACAAAGAGGGTCAACAGGAGTAGGATGTCAACAGCAGAGAAAATAGCTCTCTGAGGACATGGAGAGAGGAAAATGAATCTCAGCCACTGAGGTAGACTTGAAGTCGAGAGAAATGTGTCCCTTGAGGGTGAACATGAGAGGTACGTGATCCATGTAAAAGCTTCAGAAGACATGTTGGTGCAACCCCAAGAAGAAACTAAACTTGTGTTGCAAAACTATAAAAGTCTCATCAATCTTCTTTCTCACCAATTTGCACCCCCTGAAAGAATTAAACAAGGTTACAGAAAAATAAAGGTGATAGATAATGGCTCTTTCGGCTAATAACGGACAGATATAAAGTGATTATTATGCTGCTGATAAGAAGCCAAAATGCAACAAAATGAAACAAAAAGCAATAGGTGGATGAACAGCAATGAAAAAGAGAGGCTTGGAGAAAACAGTTCGCTCGTTCTTATACGTATATTTAAAAAAAAAAACTTACCTTTATGAGCTTTCACGATTCTAAAACAACACCACCACCCCAACCCAGAAAAAAGAAAGCTATAAAGTTGAAGCCAAACCAAAAAGACAGTCCTGAGCAACAGTAAGTCGCTCTGAACTCGAGGATACCGTGGTGTGATCTTCCTTTTTATGCCTAAATGTTTCGCAAGCTCAACTCTCCCACACAAAAAATAAAAATAATTAAAAAAAATTCAGCAATATTTTCTACTCTTGTCTACCTTGCTATCTCCGGAGTCAAAGCTACATAAAAAAAAAGAATAATGTAAAGGAAATTACAATTCTTTATAAATTCAGTTCGTTCATGCATCGTACTTATGATTTGCAATTACTCATTTTCATTCCATTCTACTCGGTTGGACCCTAAATTATTTCTGCAATCTTCGCGAGTTTCATAAATAAAATTAATTGGCGCCGGGTCAACATGAGAAACTTGCTATTAGAGGTAACCGTATTTGAGGAAAGAACATGCAAATTTCGCGGTGGTTACGGTCAAATTAAAGTCTAAGAAGGCACTATTGTCAAACCAAGCATGCCCAAAGAAAACTATAATATTTACTATTAAAAATAATTATAAACACCAAAGTTAAACCTCAATCACTTTTCGTGACGGCATTATTCATGCATGGAAATGAAAGAGAACAAAGCCCATAGTAGACAAAAAAATGAATGGCTTTGGTGAATTGTTCTTTGATGTCGAAATTGATTAGAATCAAAATGCGTGATGCTCAAGATAAGAAGAGTGTCTCGGAGTTTACAATGCGAGATTGGATTGGCCGATTGGGTCTGCAAAAAGACAAAAGCGTCCGGTTTTGGATGTTTGGTCCAAAACCCACCGGCTTCGGAGAAATTGCTACGTGGACTCAGGGTGAGTTCAATTTTTCTACTTCACTGTATTTTTAGTGTTTATTGATATATATAAAATCGAAAACTTAAATTTATCTGCAATAAATTTTATTAATTGATATGTGAAAATTAAATTATGCCAAATTTCAAATTTAAAAATATTTACATTTATTATAGAACTCTCTCCCTTGTCTCACGTGCCTCAGACTTTTGGTAGCATGGGATTGTTGAATTTTATTTCGTGGGACTCACAGCATTATTTTATCTTTTCATTGACCTTCAAAATATTTAAACTAAGAAAATTTATAATTTTTATATTTAATCGTTCTTTTTAACGTTTTTCTAAACTGTTGTATTCAAACATAGTCTTAATTCATGCAATTTATTTAATATTTTCTCTTTCTCTACTTTAGGAAGAATGTTTTGAAAATAAATAAATAAAATCAATGAATATTTTATATCATATTATTTAAAAAATAAAAAAACAATTAACTTTAATTAAAGATATTTTAGAAAGCATTAAATGAAAGAAAAAACAACGAGTATATTATTGCACAGGCCAGAGAGGCAAATAAGCGTGAGTGGTCGACAATGTACGCTGGTTGGTGTGGAAATCTGAGCATAAGAAGTTTACGTAGTTCAGGCAGATTGTTCTCATTTCTCGCCACATGCTTATGTGTGGCTTCACACGAAGATTCTCAGATATTTTACCATCTACTGATACGTTGGTAATGATTTTAAACCAATATACTTTTCTTGTAAAGTATGTATAGATACACACACACAAAATTCTATATTAATTATATTTTATTTAAATTTTTTTTAATTTACATAATATTATATACATTATTTTTTTACATTAACCATAAAAAAAATGTTATAAAATTCAATATATATAATTCTATTTAAAGGTTAATTCATTAATATTATAATACTCTTGTAAAGCTTATTATAAATAAGGATTTGGCTTCAATTGAATGTAAAAGTTAGAAGTATAATTTCGTCAGGCATGATCTCAGCATTTCCAAACCCCAAAATCTGATGTCAGTAATTATTAATTTTATTGGACTTAGATTCATTGCATTATTGGTAGTAGTGATGGAAGGATAGCGATGCTCTTATGTGAGACCGTAAACCTGCTTCCAAGTTACACGAAATGGTCACATACCAATGGGTCATCATCAGACCACTAAGAACATAGTTAATTTAAGAATGATATATTTATTATCGGTTTAGTCATGCACAAATAAAAATAAAATTAAAATCTTTATTGTGTAATGTACGTTAGCAGTATCGTTTAGTGAATAACTATTTTTCAATTCTAAAAATTATCAAAATATATTCTCTCTTTTAATAAATATTTTTCATAGTGTTAAATATTGTTAGCTTTTATACACAATTTTAAAAAATGATTTTACTATCAATCAAACAACTTTTTTTTAAAAAAGTTACAATTAGATTTGTTAATTATTGTATTTTATCACTAAACGTGTAAACCAACTCATATACTAACCTATAATGTCAAGTTTGAGCCAACATTAATATTTTATCATGTTTACAATTTGAGATTAAAATTATATCCACGTATTTATTCATTTGATAATAATATACAATTATCCTAAAATAAAATATCAGTTTAGTGTGTTAAGTAGTGAACTATATATATTTTTTCTTTGGTGTCACGTTTTTCAGTTTTCTCGGAGCAATTATTAACGTGATGACAAGAAAAAGTGGGAAATGATACGACGAGACAGGTAGTAGTCAAACTTTGGTTCCTTTCGATCATATCTTATGAACTGGTCGCCACTCCACGCACGCCAGAATGCGAAAGGTTTTCAGAGTCGTGCATACTTCATATTCATATTTTATTTATTCATTTTAATTCTCAACATATTAAAAAATAATTATTATATATTCTATACAGTTAGCAATTACTTTTTTTTTTCTTATAAAATTAGACACTCAAAAATAAAATTTATAATTTTGAGAATTAAAACAAAGCTTTTTTTTCAGTAAACTGCATAAGATTTAACTATCATGATATGTGCTTTTTGCATTAAAATACAAAAATAAAAAAAAAGTTTAAAATTTGTCAAACATGAAATGAGAAACTGATAAGAGGTGCAGCGGTTTTCAAATTTTAAGGAAGAGTTTATTTCATGGTATATTCTTGCAATTTTAAGAGTATTGTGATCAACAATGTTATAGTTTAAAAAGTTTGCATAAATGTTTGGTATCTTTGAGTAGTTTTGAATATTCAAATAATAAGTGAGAAGGTATTTTTTATTGAGTTTAAATTTATTTTTTATTTTAGACTTAAATAGTAGCTTCACCAAGTTGTATTTGTTGAAAAACAATAAAATATAAAAAGAGAAGTTAATTAAAAAATAAAAGTGTAAAGGGATAATGAATTTGTTTATTTAAGTATTTAATTAATTTAAAAATAAATATTTAATATCTTATAATTAAGACAAAAGAGATATTAGTAATTATTTTCTACAAAAAGCATCAGAGGCAGTATTATGATAACATTTGTAAAAAAACATTTTTTATATACAATTGTAATAAAAATATAATTTAATTAATAGGTGCGCTTTCTTTAAAATTGATTCAATTTTAATAATAAAAATTAAATATCAAATTAAACTACAATGTAAAACACAAACTTTTCCCTTTGATCATTTATCATATATTTAATATTTTAGAACAATTTAAAAATAATTGGATTGAATTTTAAATATCTACGTAGACGTCATAAAGCAATATCAATCTAATGTTTTTATGAGAAAGTAAGATAATAATCTCTTGTTATGAAAATGAAATGGACGTGAAAGCATTGTAATAAAATGATGAGATGAGTATTATTATTCCCTTCTCCTCACGAAACAAATACAACTAAAGCGACTAGTCGTTTTAATTTCATATATAATGTTAACGGCACTTAGCTCTATGCTGATTAATGTTGACGTCGTTTTTGTCTATTAAATACCATAAAGTATATAACATGTGCATACGTGCGTGTCGAAGTTTCTATTCCTCCGTTTTTCTTTTTTTAATTTGTTTTGGTGTTTTGTTATGAAAACTATTATTTTTTTAAATTCTGTGCCTTTAATATTTAATAATAACCCTAATTTTAATCTATTCCATTTTCCAACTTCAAGTTTTTTTTAGTAGCTACACAGACCACACTTTCTAATTTTGCAACAATCTCTATAATCCTCCATGAAATTATGTTATTGGTAATTATACGAAGAGAATAAGAATTCTTAACACAAATTTTCACATTTAACACATATTTAATAACTTATCCTAAATGCAATAATTATACCCCAACAATAATTTTTTCTGATTAACAATTGTAATAAATAAACACAAATGTTAATAGCGTTGTTAAGAATTTAAATATATGTAAAATATTGCCTTTGGTGTTGTTTATATAAATAAATACTTATTTTATTAAGATTAGTAAAAAATGTTATATGTCATATAAGTATTTATCCTATTAATTAGTATTTTATACATTAAATAAATAAATATGTTCACTTTTTATGAATAAATGGTAAGTATTTTATTAACACAAATTTTATAACAAATAAGGGTATTAAAAATTATCTAAATAATATCTTTATTTTTATAATTAAAATATATAGATAATTAATTCTTGAATATATATAAACAAAATTGTTGAGAGTAATTAGTAACAAATGAATATATTAATTTGTATATTAAATACTTTATACTTTCAAATTCCTCATTCAACAAATACTTTTAATCACTTGTTAATAATTTTATAAATAAAGATGTTTTTATTGTATGATTTTAGATACACAGTACAAAAGTATTGAATACACAAGTATGATGCTTAAATTGTTTTAAAAGTAAAAAATAAAACGATTTAATTTGTTTTTTGAGATAATACAAATTTCTGTTTTTGTAATAATTTTAAATTTTCTCATATTTTCCAATAGACACGTGTTAAAATGTAATTTCACATAAATCTTTAAACTATGATTATTTTGAAATGAGAAAAATAGTACTTGTTAGTTAAAAGGTTTTTATCGAAGTATAAAAGGACTTTACTTAATGAGCACTCAAGTGATTTTATTATTCAATCTTTTAATTAATGAAAGGAAAGTAGTCGTTAGCAAATCTTTGTTTAAATAACACTCTACCCACATCAATTTAACTATGCCCAGAGAAAAATTCAAATCAAATTATAAATGTTTATAGGGAACTAAATAAAATATTTTGGGCTATTTATTTGTCAAATTCGAACACAAATGTGAATTTTGCTGCTATATTAAAGCAATGACCAAATGAAAATAACAAAAGTATTTAATAATATGAATTTCTAATAACACATTTTTTTATTTATTAAAAACTGAAAAACTTATCACTGGAGATTCGTATTTCGAAAGAAAAAATGGGGACTAATTTCATGGAATAGTTAGCTTCAATTGCGAGTAAAATAAAATAAAAAAAATTATAAGTGCAGAATATGCATATAGTAAATTAATAAATATTTTTAAATTTATAATATTGATTATTATTAATATATTGTATTTTGTGGTATTTTAAAATTTTATTTTGTAAAATATATTTAAAAGCATACAAAAATAAATTATTAAATAGTAATTTTTATTAAAAATTGTAATATTTAATATTATTGTGTAATTTTAAATGCATTATATTTTTATATAAAAATTTAATGTACATTAATATTATTGTGTACCTTAAACCCATATTAAAAGAATTATAAGTAAAAATTACTAAATCTTACATGTGTCTTTATTCATACAATTTTAAAATTTTGAATAATAGAATAATTTATTAAGTTCAGTCTCAACTAATTTTAAATATTTAAAAATAAAAAATCTTGAAAGATTCAAATATAATGATATTAAGTGTCAAACTTGAACACTCATATTATTTAATAATTTTATATAATTAAAATATTTGTAAGTATATCATCTAAATTTTTTATTTATTCATATTTAAAAAATAATTTATTTATTAAAATAAAATAATGTAATAAAGTACTTATTGCTTTTATTTTATTAAATATTTTTATAAAATTAATCTATTTGTTAAAGACATTCAAATTATTGATTAGGTTAATAAATTTTGCATTATATAAAAAAATATTAAATAATAAATGTTGAAGTTTAATATTTAATAATAACGAATCATAACTCATTTAAAAAATTATATTTATTATATTAAAATAAAAAATATAAAAAATATTATTTGAATAAAAACATTATTATTAATGATTTATGATGCATTGATGTTAACACCTTCTAGAAGGATTTTTATTATAATAATATACTATTAAAATCATTTATCTAAATAATATCATTTAAAAATTACTTATTAAGATATATAAATTTAATGTATTCAAAAAGTGTTGAACAAGATGTTGCTTAATTTTTCAAATTTTAGTTTTTCTTATATTTATGTGTTTGAATTTAAAATTGAATCTTGAAATTTAAATTTTGTTTCATATTGAAGTTTGAATTCAAAATTTAAATTTGTTGTTTACTTTGCTTTGTCTACAATTTTAAATTATAAAATTTAAATTTAAATTTTATTCAGGATAAAAAGAAAACTAAAATTTAAAATTTGAATGTATGAAAAGAAAAACTAAAATTTCAATTCAAAATTTTAATAAAAGCAAAAATTAAATATTTAAATTTGAAATTCAAATTCTAACAATTAAAAGAGTAATAAATACTAAAATATGCTACTATCAATCACACAAGATTCAAAATTTGACACTATTAAACTTGAAAAGTGCTGCACATAGTAGAATGCTACATGTAACATTATCTAAAGCGTTGGATATCATTTCATGGTAAAACGTTGGATATCATTTCATTGTGAGTCATCTTGTATTGCATTTTTTTTTTTCGAGTAAACCTTTAATTTAGTTCTCAAAATTGTTAGCTTTTAGCATTTTAATTTTTAAGATTATCTTTAATAGTTTAGACAATTTTTCATGAGTCAATTTAAACACTAGAACATACACTGTTGTGACAGAATGCATATACTAATTGATATGTATAATTGATTGAATAATAAAAATTATGTCATGTTTTTTCATATTTTAGTCCTGAAATTGTTTGTTCCAGAGATTTTAGTTCCTAGAAGCAAAGGAACTGGAGACCACCATCCTCAGCAACCATCATAACACTCCTGTTCACCGTCGTCAACATTCCCAACTCATTGATAGAATCTTCGTGTTTACCTTCCTTTTCCTATGAGTTAAATAATGGCATTGCTTGATATAATGCATGCAATTACAAGGATTATGCTTCTTAAGCATTATAATTTCTATCTAAGTTGTTGGGTCTAGGTTTCTTGTTTGGTTTTATGTTTTTCCCAAGTAAATTTTTCTGTTATGCTTGATTTCACTGTAGTTTTTTTAAAATGATTTTTCTTTCTCATTTTCTCTTGTTTCAAGAGAGCAAAATTAATGTAGGAGTGAGAGGCATATTCTGCGTAGTGCAGAATTCAGAGAAAGGATGGTGGAAATTTGAATGTAGAAGGCAAAGCTCCACATTATCTGAAAGTAGATTGGGATAAATGGGTGGATGAAAATGAAGATGAGGGTATGCACGTTTGAACCATGCTATTCTATTGAGCCTTTTGAATGTAAGTTATGAAAAGGTATTATATTTTTATGTGCCAACTGATTGTCTTTTATTTATCATTAGGTCTTGGTGACTTGGACTTTGGAGGGATGGATTTCTCGGTACCCAATGTGTTCCTGTGATTTTCTAAGTTTCAACTACCTCTCTTATTTATGATGTTATTTGTCCTAATTATTTTTATGCTGCAAATTTTTGGTGGGATGGATAATGATGCAATGGGTAATGATTTTGATGACAATTTGGCATTTTATGATGTCTTAATCACCTGACTATTTATCAAGAATGCTTTTAGAAGTTATTGATGGTAGTTGAACAAATTGTTGCTTGTGTTTCTCACATGTATATGGAAATATGCCTGTATCATTGGGTGGTTTACTCTTGGTGGAACACTAAATAGTTTATTTCTGTCGATGAGATGATTTTTGTTAGAGTTGTATGGACATGTTTGTGAAGTTAACATGATGCACAACCTAACTTGGAACAATCTTGCACCTTCTCATGCTGAAGTGGAGGATTACCTTATATATATTGTAAAGAGACCCTCTTAAATTTAATAAGTAGTTGCTCTAACTCGTGGTTTTATTCAGAACTGTTACAGCGTGTTTGTATCACTTTTGAAAATTAATTTTTTGTTTTCAAAAATAAAATTTAATACAATTGTGAAACATACAAGTGTTTAGTTTTTTTCCACTTATGAACATCATGTATATCCATGTCATTAAGAATGACTCTTAACAACTAATATGTCAAAAACCACACTATTTTAGTGGAGCAACACATAATTGAGTAATAGTGTAAGGAAGTGCACAAGTAACAATGTATTCATTAAACTCTATTCAGAAAGCTGTCATTTTTGTCTTGTTCATAGCCTCATTCTGGAACATAATTAGCAGGTGCACAATTGTATATCCATGGTTTTTTCAAAGGAAATCAAGCTAATAATGTACATGTGACAATGCATTTGTTTGCCTAGCTACCTAATCTTCTTGTCACGTGCTATAAAAACTCTTATTCGTTGTCCAATATATTGCGTGCATTAAACTACTATGACAATGGCGATACTTCTTATAGAACTTGTTGCTCTGACTCTAGCTAGTTTCATTACTTTTAGTCTCTTACAAAATAAACAAACCTTATTCTCTGCTTCAGAGATGTATTGATATGCACAATTGATATCAACTTCTTTTTACTAATTTAATTTATTTTATGATCACGTAAAACGTACGTCTAATCAATCTGGACAAATGACCAAATGGCAGCTCCTATACTCAGAATTGCTGTTTAACAGTTTACACAAAAAAACATTTTTCTTATGACTCTACGAATTGATAAGATGGGCTGAATGTTATATAATGGGTTTTTACCAAATTACTTTCAAAATTGTAATGGTACAAAAAGCATTTTGTTGTTTTGACCTAAAAAAACATTTTCTTGTGACATTTTTGTTGTAGAAGCCACATGATTAAATCAAAATCCTAAAATTAACAAACCAAAACTAAGGGCAAGGTATATAATTCACAGGAAGAAGCCATAAAAACGATTAAGCAAAAGCTCCACCACACAAACAAAACAAATTAAGCCACATGCCAATCACTTTAATGATGACTACCCCAATCACCAGTGACAAGAACTACGGCCTGTTTAGTTAACCTTAAAAGAAAAAATAATTCCATTTCTCTTTATGTTTTTATCCACAAGCTATTATTTGTAACTTTTAACAAAACTTGCATACTTATTACTTTTTAAAACATGTTATAATTAAAACAAATCTTTGAAAAAGCACAAACATGCTTCAGATTTAACATGACAACATTTCTAAACATATAAAGCTTGGGAGATATTTACTATTTAACAAGTAACACGTAATGCCACCATTACTTCTCACTGAAGCTATGTTTGAATTGATAGAAAGGAATGTAACAGTGGAATGAAATGGAAAAATACTAGGTTCCAATATTTGGATTGTTCAGAATAGGATGGAACGAGACCTCATGGATTGTATTTCATTCCATCCGTTAAATACCCCTTCTTTCATTCCCCTCTAATTTGGGAATATGGGATGTAACCAGCGTTTTTATATATCCCATCACAAAAATATCCAAATAATGCAATGCTTAAGTTATTCATTCTACTATATGGATCCTTTCCATACCATTCCATTTCACTCAGCAATAAATATCTAAACATAGCCTGAGGAAAAGGAATAAGTACAAATTTTCAACAGAAAAGGCATTAGAAAATGATGTTTCACAGAAGCTTTCGTGAGGTCTATAATACCAGCATTTTATGACTCTAAATGCAGAAAACTAACTGGAAACCTAAAATCAAATAATGCACAAGGAAACACAAACAGTAAATGTGCTGAATGGGCACCATTGCCTCTAAAAGCAGCAAGTGGCCCATCTGTAATTCCATATCAGTGCTCAAATCAACCTCTACCTCGCCCTGCACCTACCACGAGAAGAAAAACATTGGATGAGATTTAATCACAATATCTAAGTAATATGTTGGATGGGAGGTAAAGATGAGGAAGAGAATGAAAGTGGCCCAAACTTGTGTTTGGAAGATTTTTAAGGAGAGAAAAGAAATCCACTCCTTCCCCTCAAAGTGGAATTGGAGGTAATTATTAAATAACATGTAATTTCCCTAGGTGTGTGACATAAGATTACACAACATGAACTATACATTGGATATTTAATTTATTGACTTAAAACTTCTCTAATATCACTGAACTGCCAAATTCCTTTTCCATAAACACCAAAACAAGGAAGCGTAAGATCTTTGAGGTGAAAATAAAAGCATAATAACATAAACCTCTTTCATGTTGAATTTAGAGACAGAAACCAACAAAAGAATATATGGCATCCATGTAATACTGGGAATTTGGAATGATGTAAGGGTATGATTTACCTCTGTTTCCACCAGGCTTTCCACCAGGGCCACCCCTGCCTCGGCCTCCTTGTCCCTTAGCTCCACCTTCATCAAGGCCGCGCCCAATTCCTTTCACTTGACGTCCACCAGCACCTTCCTCCCTACCTCGTCCCCTTCCTCGTCCCACACCAGGTGGTTTTCGATCTGAAAAGGGTTACATCAGTAAAAAAATATCATAGTTGTTTCTGTAAGTGGAAAAGAGCACCCAGATAGCAACTCATGCTATATGCACAACAAAAACTAGTTCACAGTGATGAAACTTTCATTTGCTGATCTATAAAAGAAACAAGTCAGGCTTTAAAACTGTTAGGTTCAAGCACAAAACCATATGCATCTTTAACAAGCATAGTGATCTGTCTTTATTATCCCCATTGTCCCTCTCAGATCACCTAATTAATTTAAATATCAACATGAACAACCAGCAAGATGTCAAATCAAGGCTTACCAGCACGGCTCTTTGTTTCTTCCTGAACTTTGTCAATAACCTAAATCAACAGGCAGAAATGCTAGATTAGTTGATAAATGTATGTATGGTTAAGAGCTCAAGACAGTCACAAAAAGTTCTGAACCCTATTTCACTAAAAGAGTCAAAATAGACTGAGCAACCACTACACACCTCATCAGGAACCCGAAGATACTTAATGGTATTGCCACGAATGTAACACTCGGGCATTCGCCAAAATCTATCTCCATCCTAAGTTGCCAATTTCAATCAAACATTGTAAGTTGCAACAAACAACATCCAATGAGATGATAAATGAGAATGAAAACAAGGAGGGCTGTCAAAAGAACATTACCTTAGAGGTACAAATAACTTCTCGGAGATGGATGTTCATCCATGTATCACAATTAACCAAATGGCCATTATAAGTCTCCCCATTTTTCAGTTCCACCAACTGTTACAACATGTCACAAATTACAAATCAAACAGTATTCACAAGTTATGAGTAAGGTAAAAATAAAGCAAACAACTTTCTCTCACCATTGGGTGGCCTTGGGCAGTCTTGAGAAGGGAAAGGGGCAACTGCAACAAAGAGTAAACAGTTAGAAAAGGGGCAAAACAGCATGAATGCAACCCTAACGGTAACAAACCCTATTGTTATGCATGATTAGTTAAGGGGAGAATTTGAAGCCTATTGGGTATTGAGGTTTGGGGTGAAAAATTACATTTTTTGAGAAAAAGGAATGAACTTGATGAGATCTAGGTAACCATCCATTCAATCACTGTTAGTGGTGAAAGGAAAAAGCTAAAGAGAGTGAAAGAGGGTTACCATGTCGTGAATCGGTGGTTGAAGTGGGTGTGTTTTTGGTTGGTTTAAGGGAAGAATGCGAAGAGGAAGAGGCGAATGCTGCTGTGCTATCTTCCACTGTTGCCCTCTTCTCTCTTCTTCGTTTACTATTAATCACTCTCGCTCCTATTTTCCATTCCCGACTCAATATCTATTGTCAAGGACTCAACTCTACTTTTAAATTTCGTTTATCAAATCAATTATGCTAGCGTACTCCCGAGATTTCTGTGATTTTCTTTTAATTTTCAATGAAGATTAGAATATAAAATTTATTATAGTTATAATTGGAAATTTTTAAAAGTTTTGCACATAAGTTTATTTGAGTTAGTAGCTTATAAAATATATGAATACATTTTAATTACAAATAGTTATAAAAATTATAGACAAAAAATTAATATGAATCTTATTCTTATTATAATTTTTAAGAATTTATAATCTGTAATTTATTAATATTATAATTTTTTGTGAATTATCTAAATATTATTTATCAAACTAAGTTTATTGAATAAAAAATATTATATATATATATATATATATTTCATTTTAAAGAGTAAATATTGTTATTATAATAATTAAAAGTTCATCATATTAAAAAGGATTAAGTTGATAAAAAAGTAAGATTATGTTAAAGAGATAAAAAAATTAAACTTTAGAAAAATTTAAAATTCAAATCAAAATAAAATAAATATAAAAATATAAATTATTGGTAGTTATACATTAAATACTACCATAAAAAGTTAATTTAAAAAAGTAAAAACTTCAAAAGACTATACTACTTTTTTTTTTCTTAAAAGTTATAAATTCTTAAATAAATTATAAGTTGATGTTACTAAACATAACTTAATTAAAAATGCTTTTACTTAATATAACTTTAAGTATGATCGCCGATCAATGAATGGTGTTGTTTACTATCAAAATAGAACTAGAATCGATGTCAGAGTAGTTGGCTAACAAAATTAAAATGCTAAAGGTTCATTCTGATGTTTGTTATATTTATTTCCCTTTACTTAAAATAAAACATTTCGATTCTCCTCGCTGGGTCCACTCCACTAGAAAATAATATAAATATAAATGCATGTTTGATGTTATTCGAAAAACATAATATGTATGAAATCTTATTTTACTTAGTAAAATGCGTTAAAAGGGAGCCAACAAGCCGATTACGCGCACTTCACTTTCCCCGTCGCACGCATTAAGGTCATGCTTAATTTGGACCAAAAAAAGTTTTTTTATTTTGTTGACCATTTTTTAAAAATAGTTTTATAATTATAAGAATTTTACTTCATTATTTTTTATTTTAAAATTTTATTTAGAAAATAAAAAAATAAAAAGGTTAATTTATTACTTTTTATATACATTTTGAAAAAAAAAATAAGATAACATTTTCTCGTAGACTATTGGACTAAAAAATGCTGCATTGGCAATAAATTGGTTAAAATATTATACTACTTATAATCATGGATATAGTTCTCTTTATTTTTAACTTTTTAAGCATTCATGCTTCAAAGGAAACTGCATCACAGCAAAATTCATCTTAAATGTATTTAAGAAAGAAGGTAACTGGAAAATTACAATACAGAAAGGTGGAAGAGCTAAAACAACCAGAGTGAATTAATCAAGTTCCAACCATTACACTTAAAAGCGGAAAATTTGGCTTGTAAGGTACTTTTATTTATCTCAACTTCCTCTTAGATTTTAAAAAATTAGGTACTTTTATCTCAATTTATTCCGAAGTTTGACAAAACTTCAGTCTAAACTTGCAACATATTTTTTAAAATATTTTTTAACAAACTTTTAACTATTAACTAAAATTTATTAAAAATTATATAAATTTCACTTTTTCTCGCTCCTAATTTAATATTTCATCATATTTTAATAATTTTTAATAAATTTTAACTAATAATTCAAAATATATTAAAATAAATATGTTAAAAAGTACGTTGCTAGCAATCTTTATAGTCCGATATACTCTAATTTTAACTGTTAGATTATCTTTTATTTGCATTCCATATTCCTCCCTCATTTTAAAACTTTTTTTGGGGTCATTTTTAAACTTTACCAACAAAAAATATAAAAAAACTACTCCGTACAATTTTTTCCACTCCCAGATAAAATAACACCAATCCAAAACCAAAGTTCGCTAAGGAGGAAGTCTGGAGTAAAAGGAAGGCCCAGAAGTCATGCAGCTATAGCATTTTACAGCGACGCAAAGTCACGCAGAAAGACAGTCCAATAAAAAGCGCAGCACATCAAGTATGCTAATGTAAAAATACATTTCCAGGATCATTGAATTTACAGCAACGTTAGAGTACAAGTTATTTTGTACAAAATAAGTTAGATAATTCCCTTAACTTCCTAAATAACAACGGCGATTAGAATAAAAGTCCATTATTAATTACATCTGCATTGTTACTTCTGACCTCTTATGAATTTTTGTTAAGTCGACTAAATGGCGCATGGTCGGTCTGCCATGGGGACAATTCCATGGAGATTTCAGCTCAGCCAGATGCTCAAGTATCTGAAACAATTAGTGTAAGCTACAAACTCAGTCTGCAAGTGTGAAAGATATGAAATTCAATTTATATAGATTTAATTCCCAATAAACCAGAAGTGATTACCATTAAACTTTTCTACATGTGTTATTAATGAAGGGAAGGGAACAGTGCTATAAGTAATGTGTTTTACTACCTTCTGCATTTCATTTCTTCCAAGTGCATCACCAATCATAATTGATGATCGACATGCACGGGATGCTAACATTGCACGGACTCTTGAAGGGCAAATAGAATCTGAGCTGTCCAGTTTATAGCTACCAATAATGGAACATTCCATATGACCATCGCCATCAGACAGGGTAGAGATTAGCTCCTTAACATCTGTTGGAAAAATGCTTATCATTAATCAATAATCACTTCAATCCATTATTTTTTTTTCCTTAATTACAATCTTCAATCATTGCACAAGCAAGTAATCAACTCTAATTAAACAGAAACTTTAAATGGAATGATTAGGTACAACAAGCAAGAGCTCTAGACTTTCACAAGATTTATATATGTGTGTCAATCTTTAGATTAAGGCTTAGGCCCTGGCCCTAGGATATATATATATATAACTTTGGCATCATGGAAAGGACAAAATCTCAATTCAAATGGCACTAATAAGTGCATCATAATGATTTCTAGGGTGAAAAAGGTCAGGCACCACACCTTTACAAAAGGGGGGGGGGGGGGGTAACTTTTCTGAAGCTTAAAGACAATGCGAGTGTCATTTATGCATCCTAAAGCATGTTCGTGCAGAATATTGTAGATTTAACATGCATCATAAATTAGTTGAGGATGTTTCCAAATATTCAGTTACTGTTTTGAAGTACCAAAGCCTGATGGCGAAAAACCTACATTTGTTAAGATCCTAAATTGTCGTCTTGATATTACTTGCATGAGTAGCATCATATATCAACTTAAACCCATATTAACTATGCTTAGACGTCCAGCTTTGTGCAAGTCATCTCCCAATATGAATACAAAATTCAAAAAATAAAAAGGAGAATATTGGATGGAGAATTACATGTCCAATGCACACATGAATATTTTTCCTTGACCTACTGTAATCATATAAACCATCAAAATTCCTGAATCAATCACACAGATAAAATATACAAAATTCAGAGATAAACTACCTTCAATTCCAAACATAATGTTTTTACTGAAGGGGACTGACTTCAATTTATAACGGCTTCCAGGTGGTGCATTAGGATCTTCTTCCAAAGTAAATCCATTCTTCCTGAAAATGGAGATAATATAAATGCATGTAAAGATGAAAACCTAGACAAAAATAAAGCATAAGATATTGTAACTAAACATTGAATTCAAATTCAATGAAAACTTCAATAACCAGTTAGTGATACTACAAGATGGACTAGATCAAATCATGGCAAACCCTTAAGCACAAGACAATATTTCAGTGATTACGCAAAAGTTTAAATTTCTAATGTGCAGCAGCAATCATAGCATCTCACGATGATAATTAAATATACTAGCTTACAGGAAACAGCCGGTTAAATAATTCAGAATGTCCCCAGCTCAAATTTGACTGTGAATTTTGTTCATACATGTCACTTTTGTCAGCACTTCACAAATGTATCTGTTAGGTACTCTGACATGGTTAGGGCTAAAAAAGGAATTTATGTAGGCTACAACAAAGTTGCAGACATGTTAACAGCTGTAGGAAGCATTGTGGTAAAGTTAGAGGCTGCACAGGGTATAAGCGAAGTGGGAGGCAATCATTTAAGTAGTTTTGGGTTGCTATTGCCACAGGAAAGAGAAGTTTTCCTTCTCTCATTTGTTCCCTTTCACTACATTAGCCTTGTAATCAGAGCACTATTTGGGATTGATGTACATTACACTTTTGAATGTGAGATGTGAGAAGAGTAAATCTTGAATATAGAATCATACTGTAAGGAACTGGTTCAATTTTGTAAAGTAGAAGTAGAAATACTGAATGTACTTTTATTGAATGTTCTCTGTCAAGAGAAATATCCCAATCTGAGAGGAAGAATCAAGAATACAAGAATATCCAGGACTTTGAGAGCCTGGTCTCTCCCCAACAGACCAAATATTAATCCACCGCTAAAAATTCCCTTTTTCCCCCTGACCCTATTTATTCCCTGTTCTTTACATTTTTCTCAGCTAATTGGGCCTCTTTTCTTCTATTGGGCCTTCTTACATAGACTTTACTAATTGGGGATTTGGACATATTACTAACACATACATTGATGATCAAGGTTAAAAGTTATTTAATAGTCACATGATTATTTTAAAATGTTACATGTCTTAATATTTGAATCTTAACCATTCATGATTAAATCAAGTAGTTAAGATTTATCCTTCTCACTCTCATTAGAAAATCCTCTCATTAAAAAATCCAACCAAATTCTCTTAGCATTAAAACAGTGCACTAGTGCAGTATTCTGAGCACAGCTCTCATGAGGGACATGAGTGATACTGCATGTTGAGTTTTATATAGTAGAGAAAGCCATGACTGGAACATCACGCAAGGGTTTTTCAGGGTGACATTAGATCATTGCTACTGCTTAAAAAGATTCTTAAATACACATGGAAAAATAATCAATACGGTCATTTTGTAAAGTTGACCATCTGAGGCAACTTGTTACGACAATCAAATTAATCAAGTGAGAAAGTAAATAAGAGATAATGGTGCAGCATCATTTGATTCATTTCTGTACTGGCTATAGCGCACAGGAAATATAAACGGTCTGATTATTGCAGGATTGACATCAGGATCTATTTATGAAATCTTGTTTCTTGCAAGAACCTGAAATGAGTAAAATCAACATATCACCATTTAATCAATATGGCTCTAGTAATACCTGATTATGTCCATGTGCATTGAAGCAACTATTTCTTCTTCAGGGGATAACTCCAATCTTATTGGCCTACATATGCATTTTTTAATCAGTAGAATTTAGATCAGGAACAAATAAAGAGAAGAGACAAATTATGCTGTCATGTGCCATCTACACATTGTAGGAAAAGTATCATCCATTAACAGTAATTGAGCTTTAACCATCAAAGTTCCTGCTCTAAGCATACTCTGTAACTTTTTTACTTCAATGAGTCCCTTTACCTTCTCCAAAAGTTTGCATCAGATCAAGCAATGTCCTTGTACCACAATTTTGTAAGTGAACGATAATATAAACTCCTCACCTAAGCAAAGGCTGTTGGTTCAGGATAGTTGATTGTGACAGACGCTCAAAATTATACTTCTCATCAGCAGCATGCTGAAAATGATCATTCTCCATTACAAATTATGCTTTGCAAATGAAATGAAATTTAATTTTAGCAAAAGGATGCATTTAAATGAATTAATCATTCAAGGAGATGGTGGAAAAATCCAAAGATTCAATTTTCCAAAAAAATATTGGAAATTACCTGATCCACAATAAATAAATCTTGATCTAATTTACCAATGATAAATCCAAGATTGAATTGCCCAATCACCTGTTAAAACATGTTGTCTAAGTAACCCACAAGAAATTACAGTATATATGTAACCTGAAAGTGTTTGTAAAATTGAGCAGCTAAAGAATTGAATTGAATTTTAGCACAATACATTAGATATTGAACCGTGTATTCCAAGAACGAAATGACTAGGGTTTTATGGAGAGAAAAAAACCTAAGAAAGCCTATTAGGCAAACAACCAAACAGCACAGCAATAACCATTTAAAAAAATAGCATCAAGTATTGACATTTGTGCAAAGCCAAGCCTCCCATAATGAAAAGATAAAATAACTAGTAATGTCCTTATAAGTTTATAAATGGCAGTATGAAGCATAATAACGACCTTCATTCTGCTGAAGTCTTCCTTCTTGAAAAATTTTTCAAGTTCAGTAGCCGCAGCTGCCAAAGTCCTTTCTTTCTGCTCTCCAGTTTCTGATGGTGAAAGCTCCAAAGTTGCAGCAGAATAGCGACTGGAAATAATTGAGACAGAGTCAGCACATGGGTAATTTTCCTATTTCATACAAAGGCTTTTGAAATAAAAAACCTTTTGACTTCAGCTTTTCCACATCCATATTCACTGGATTGAAACAGAGAAAGCCTCTTCTCTCTCCTTTTCTTAAGATCTTGAAAAGAAAATTGCATGTTGGAGCATATCTTCCGATCAGAAGATTTAGAAGAATCTAACCGTACAGATGATGAGAGTAATGAAGGATCTGAGGCCACAACATCTGCAGTGATAGGATCATTGCTAGATGGAGTAACCAATGCTGTCTCAGCAAGAGGTGTATGGTTCTCTTGATCTAATTCCTGTAAATCAGCACATGCACATATGAAAATTGAGAGACAATAATTTATTTAATTTTCGATTTTTTTAATTAAAGAATTTTTAATGGAAAGAAAGAAGTAGTAAAATGGAAAAGAGGATTGGTCTTCTCCAAGGATAAAGGAGCATAAAAATGTACATGAATGAGGGAAAGACATTAATACTGCATTTAGCTATTTTCTTTTAATAGTATCTAAGTTTCTAAAACATAAATTTCTAGAAATGTCATTGTTAATGATAAAATGTCAAATAATTTGATAAATCAATATCAACATATGGTACAATCTCATGCTATATTATACTTCAAGAACTAAAAGTATGGATATATGAAATTTTAGCATTTCAGACTAATTTTTCGAATGTTTGACTGCAAAGCCACATACCATTTTAGTTTTAGGTTCTGTAACTGTAGAGTCAGCTCTCAAAGAAACTGAATTTTCGTTTTTGTGTATGATGTTATCAGGACTAAGTTGCTGCAAAGATTCAATCTCACTCGCACTAGCAGGTCCATCACTTTGGTCAAAACAAAATGATGACTTTGTAGTCAAGTCATGTGTTTCAGTATTTGCAGTCTTCAGTTGATGACTAGGAACTTGATTTCTAAGGACAGGCACTTCAGATAAGGTTGTACTAATGCTATCACGACTTCTTTTATTTACAGAAACAAATTTGCTTAGAGTGGACTGAACATGTCTTGAATGATTGAAAGAATATTTATTACAAGTGCCTCCACTCTCAACTGTCCTTGTGATGGAGGTAGCTTGATCAGGTATAATACTTCCAGGACATGCTGACTGTCTTTTACTCTTGTCATCCTTTGAAGTGTTGTGTGCTCTGAGTGTGAACCCCCGCCCCATTAAACTCCCATCATTCTCCCTACTTAACTCTTCTTCAACAAGTGAGTACTGATCTTCATTAATAGATTCGGAAACATTTTTGGAATCAGTAATATGTTTCTCTTTATGCTCATCCTGAGAAAGACTATCATTATTGCATTCAGTATTAAGCTCATCCAGAGTAATACTACCTTCATTGCGTTCAGTACAATGCTCTTCCTGAGGATGATTGCCATTTGGGGACGATGGCTTCATTATGATTGAAGACTTCCTATGAGAGGAACACAACTCAATGCAGTGTTCTTCAGCAGGCAGCATAAATTCATTAACAGAATAACAGATATCACTGGCAGAATAAATTTTCTGTAATCCCTCTCTCAAGGCTTGCAAAATGGCAGTTTCTTCAGAAAAAAATATTTTCCTCTTATCAGGAGTCACATTGACATCATATGCTCTCGTAGGAACTGTAAAATTTAAGATTGCAATGGGATATTGTTTGGAGTTTGCACCTTTATACAACTCATTCACAAGTTTGCTGACTTTAGGCATGTCCACCGGTCTACCATTTACAAAAAAATACTGCCTGTCCCCCAAATTGCGTCCATTACCCTGTCCAGACTTGGAAAGAAAACCTTCAACTTGGCAACTATCAGATATACATAAAGTCAGAGACTCTAAGCAGCTGAAAGTGTTCATGCCAAGTACTGTTATGATGTTATCTTTAAGAGAACCACTTCCTTGCGTCTTAAGTACCACGGACCTTACATTTTTGCCAGTGGTGTTGGTGCAGACAAAACGAACACCTTTTGCTATAAGGGCATATGCCTGAAGAAAGTTCACATCAACAAACTCAGAAAGTAACATACAACAACTAAACACTTATACACAGAAAATAAAAACTCACATTCAACAGAGAAACCAACTTGCCATATTCCCTACGTATGTTACGACTAAACTCTTTGCTTCGGACAGGTAAATTGGAGAACAACTTTTTAACAGTGACAGTGGTACCAATTTGTCGCGCAGTTTTCCTTTCACCCACAAGAACACCGGAATTGTCGAAAGTCAAGTGCGTAGCAACCGGTTCGCTCACCGTTCTCGTTTCAACGGTCAAGCTCCCCAAAGCACAGAGAGAACTCAGCGCCTCCCCTCTGAAGCCAAAAGTGGTGAGAGACTGAAGATCTTGAAATTCCGCTAACTTTGAGGTGTGGTGTTTGAGCGCAAGAACCTGCAATCATTTACCTTAAAAATGGTAAAAAAGAAGAAAAGAACCCTAAACGAATTTAAAAGGCGTTTTAAGTAACAAACACCTTGAAATTGTTAGGGGAAATGCCGCAACCGTTGTCGATGACTTGAAACAATTGTTCACCGAAGTCCTTGAGGGCGATTTCGATGCTGGTGGCGCCGGCATCCAAGCTATTTTCGACGAGTTCCTTAACAGCAGAAGAGAGATCGAGGATGACTTGACCGGCGCAGATTCTGTGAACGATGCCTTTGCCGATAGGCTTGATTACTTGAGGTTCAACCGCCATTGCTGCTTCGCCCACTCGATCGCCACAACCCCCATACAAATCCAGACACCAAATTTTACCGCCAAAACTGAAGCGGGAATCAAACTGGCAGAGAGAAACACACAGAGGGGAAATTAATTAAATACTACCGTTGGGTAGTCTGCCTGACAATACCTTAAATTAGGTTAAATTGTACATTCAGTTAATATTCCCTTTTCAATTATTTTTTATCTTAATTTATTATAATTTAAAAATATTACAAGATATCAAATTTAGTTAAAAAATATATCATAATTCAATTTTATTATCTTTAAACTAATTGATTTTTGACTCAATAAAATTTTTATTTAATTTTATATTTTTACTTTTTATTTTACCTTCAAAGAATAATAAAATATTAAATTTGACATGTTGATTATAATTTTTTAATACGTAACTATATTAATTTATGTATATTATATTTTATATAATAGGTTAACTTTGATGTAATATTTTTTAAAAAATTATGGGAATAAAATATTTTAGATGTGAAATCTTACTATTATTCAAACCTTTAAACTATTAATTTTATTACATTAGTAAATTTATAATATTTTTTTATTATGATATAAGTAATAGTTTTTATTATATTAATTCAAAATTCTATCAGTTGATTTTTATTGTACTTTTTTTATTAATTAAACATTGTATCTATGAAAAAAATAAATAGATATATATAGTTTTTTCTATAATAAAAAGTTTTATTATATGTAAGTTATTTTTAATATTTTATTAATTGTAGTTATGACTTTTTTATTGATATATGTATTAAATAAATCAATAAAATTTATATTAATAAATATGTATGATCTTGAACTATAAATAATAATTTAACTTAAACGTATGAATTTTCAGGTTCTTAGAAATTCATAATTCTTTAATTTAATATTTTATTTTAAATTTTGTATAGTCAAATCAACTAAAAATATTTTTAAATTAAAATATGAATTTGATTTTTATAATTAGCACTTATTTTTGAATTAATTCTTGAACTAAAAAAAACTCATTTTAAGTCATTGTATAAATATTTTATTATGTTTTAGTCATTTTTATTATAATATTATTAATAATAAGTATCAAAATATAACTTTTTAAAGTAGATTAATTAATAAACGAATGTTAACTTTAAACATTATTTCTTTCTAACGCAGTAAAAGGTTTTGGATATATTACCATTTTATTATTCGACTCAATTCAGTTTCATTCAATTTTTTAAAATTAGTCATAAATTATGAAGGTACAAGATGGGCAACTTAACCAATTCGGATCAAGTGAGGACATTGCATGCAATAAAATTTATGGAGACTAGTAAATAAATAAATAAATTAAAATTTTGCACCAAATATAATTAGATCAAGGTAAAAAGATTGATTTTAATTTTAATTCAAAATTTAATATAAAATCCATGTATTTTTATCAAGCAAATTCAAATAAGCTAGGTTGGATTGACATATTTTACTGGGTCAAATAAATTGTAACTTTGTTTTTTGTATACTAAGAATATTAATTTTTTAATGGATAACATTTTATGTGAATTAGATCATAAGGGTCAAAGTATGTCTTAAAGCTCAGAGCACTTGTAAATCGTTCATCAATGATGTCTTCATATCAGAAGTGAAATTTTAACCTGCATTCTTGTGCGATATGTTTGATATCTAAACCATTTTTTAGTCTATAGCAATCCCTTTAATACATTCAATCCAAAAACTGATTTCCCGTCAACATAATTAAGGAGCTTAACTATTTACTAACCATGTTAAATTTTGTTTATTAGGTTGACTTTTATATTAAAATAATATTTTAAATGCATGACTTTATCTTTATTGCCTTTATTGTTTCTGCTAAATATTGCACTTAGACAAACACTATTGAGAGTTATGACATGTACGAATCGAAGTATCTTCAAAAGTATTTAATCGTCATCAGTAACGAATATCATGGACGGATCAGACGCAAACACATCACAATAATATAATCGTCTCTCATAAACTCAATCCATGAACTAAAACTTAACCTCAGTACCCGCAGATTTATTTACTGAACACAGTAGAAAAAATAAAGCTCCGGCAAATCTTGAATGAATCCGAATAAAAACAGCATATTGACTTTGAATTCAAATAAGTAAGGTTGATATATATTAACAAACAAACACATACTGCAAATAAAAAACATAATGCCATACATGATATATACGAAAGCAGCAAATATAAGAATTATTTAATTTTATTTGATTTGATTTTAAAGAAAAAAGAAACTTGGTATTTACAAGCAGAAAGCCCAAACAGGGAAAGAATAAGGAGGGGGCCTAAAATGAAGCTCTTGTATCTGCAGAGAATTCGTCAGCAAATTCTACCAACATATGAAAAAATTTGGAGGGTTGGAAAAAAAGGGGGAGAAAACCTATGATATAATACAATAGAGGCAGAACCAGTGATGGATTTCCACATCCACTGGTAGTTACACCGTTTAGGTGATATAAGAATAATTGCCTAAGCAAGAGAAACGCTATACAGAGAGAGGTTTACATGAAATAGCTCAATGATCTCATTTTTCTTGATCCCCCTTCTCCGTAGAGGTCATTCCATTGGAGTAACTCATTCATATTTGTTGACTCTGATGACACGCTTGCACACACCTGCATAAGCATAAATTAATCAGTGCATATACATCAAACATTGTACATTATTATTATATTATTACCTTTGCAGGACACAAAAAAGGACTCTGTCAAATAAATAACTGATTTCCACCAATAATACACAAATGGCTTTTCCACCAAAATTGAAGGGGAAAAAAAATGCATTACTTAAAGGATGTTTCCCAGACTAGGTCACAAGGTAAAAATCTTATTTTCAAGGACCCCAAGTGAACACAATACTTAAAAAGAAAAGCAATGGAAATGAAATTAATATACCTGCTCATGTGCATATTTAAAATCATCCATCTTTAAAGGACGAATGTCGGCACTGCTACACAATCCAGGTAAAGGTTTGTTCTCAGACAATGCTAAGCTTCTCTCCTGAAAGACATTTCATGTCAAAATACGGAAGAGATCATCAATCCCAGGACTATTAGGCAACCACATTAAGGTGCACAGGTTCAAACTTAGTACTGAGATGAAATATTTTGCAAGAGAAACACTCAACCAAGAAAATTATATGTATGTATCAACATGTGTATATATGCATGCATGTATATCACTAACCCTCTTTTCCTTCTCCAAGATCTCTCGTATTGGGCAGTGAGCTGCTGTTACACACAGATTCTGCAATCAAAAGATAACGATGAGAATATCTCACGCAGAAGCAGATGCTCCTTCACCAGCAAACAAGAATGGAAGTGAAAGATATATAGAAAGAAAACCTTAAGGTCACTCCCTGAATATCCGTCAGTCATATTAGCTATTGCTTCAAAATCAACATCAGGTGCCAAATCTTCTTTCGCCAAAATGACTCTCAGAATTTTTTCTCTATTTGGAGCATCTGGCAAATTAACCATCAATCTAGAGAAAAAAAAAAAAAATGAAGCAAGACCATGCATTAGAATAGAGCTCATCTATAAAACTTAAAAATACAAGTTAACATCAAATACAACATGCTTACCTCCGAGGCAGCCTCCTTATAACAGCCTCATCAAGATCAAAAGGCCTGTTTGTAGCAGCAAGAACAAGTACACGCTCTTTATCTTTTGTGCGCAGACCATCCCAATTAACCATAAACTCATTCTTCATTTTACGCATAGCCTCATGCTCACTAGGGTTTTCTCGTCTCCCTAACATACTATCCACCTGCCACAATTGCCAAAATATATCAACGCAGATAATTGAAACTAAGAAATTGTTTTAAAAAAGAAATAGAATTGAAATATGTTAGTCATGGGAGTTCAAAAAGACTCCTCCTCTCCTTCTCACATAAAAAAGGACTCAATATATTCACCTAAAGATATATATGTGTGTGTGTGAATGTTCAAAACAAAGAAGGGAAGTTTAAAGGAATAAAGGGAGATAAACATATGACATGTTACAGCACCTCGTCAACAAAAATAACACTTGGAGCAATTTTGCTGGCCAGAGAAAAGACCGCCTTGACATATTTTTCTCCTTCACCAAACCACTGCAACAAACAAAACCATATTTATCCCATCAGCATAGCATAAAAGGAAATACACAACAGAACAAAAAAAGCTATTTGCAATATTAATACCTTTGAAGTAATGCTGGACATTGATATGTTAATGAAATTTGCTCCAGCTTCAGTTGCTACTGCTTTTGCAAGCATGGTTTTTCCAGTGCCAGGGGGGCCAAAAAGCAATATTCCCTTGCAAGGCTATATACAAAGTGATTAAAATGAGGTGCTACACACACAATATGATCTATTTAAAAAATGTGTTTCCACAAGTCATTTAAAGTAACTATAAAGAAAGCCAATTCACCTTTGTCAACTGTCCTTTGCAAAACAATTCAGGCCTCTGAAGAGGAAGCATGACCAATTCCTTTAATGTGTCCTTAACATTTTCTAAAGCTCCAATATCGTCAAATGTGACCCCAATATCAGTTGGTGGAATAACATCACCCAGCAGTTTTTTCTCAAATTCATTCTCAGTAACCACATCCTGAAAAAACGATTCAAAAAATACAGGTGTTAATTCCATAATTCTAACTGTAAGTGTAAATAAACCCAATGGACACTAAGTAATGAAAAATATATCCACAAGATACACGGAAAAAGGTTTATATTTGTAACAGCTTATGTTAAATTACCTTCAGTGATTTTTTCAAGTTCTTGTTCTCATTTTGAATGCCCTGTAGAATGTTAATCCCATATGTAATGCTGCACCAGGGGAAAGAAAACTAGTGTTAAAAAAATAAAATTCAAGGGCAGCTGACTTTGTTATATATTGTCGAAATTATAGGGTTGATATTGATAAAAAAAGATGAGAATGACCTTTCAGCAGATATCACAAGCTTAGAATCTTTGATAGAAGCTTCAGATGAATGCATAAAATGGTAACTAATAGCCCATCCAATGATCTTCTCCACACCTAGCAAAAGATAGGATACTATCAGTACTATGGCAGAAAATCACATCATCTCATATTTAGCAGGAAAAATAACTTCAAACATTAAATTTTAAAAAATAAATAAAACAAAAGAACCGACTTTCAGCTGTTAGAGTTTGGTCTTTGATGGAAAGAATCTCAATGTCAGGGCAATCCAATCCAATTCTGTTGAGAACCTGAATCATTAAAGGAATTTATCAGAATTTGAGAAATGGTGAGCCAAGAATATCAATATTGAAAATTTGAACTTAAGTCAGATATAGGATAGAATGGAGCTCTATATTTTTTTGAAAAAAGAAAATCAAGTAATTATTTTATTATTTACATAAAAGGTTTCTGTATCTATGATAGCATTAATCGGCCGTGTTAGAAAGGCTTGTAAGTCAAACAAAAATGGATGGAATAGTCAGGACAGGCAAGGTTGAAAAAGCCAAAAACAACAAAGAATTTTAGCCACATAAACAACTTTTAAAATGACATTAAGCATTGTTAAGCCCAGTGGGGGAAATTTTCACAAAGCAAATGCAAGTGATGCAACATATTCCAAAGGCAATAAAAACATAACCACAAACAACTGAAAAAAATTGAAACATACAGGAAAACTGCTTGTTATTAGAGGAAGTATAGAATGATAACAAGTAAAAAAGGCACATAAAATGATCAGAAGATGTTGCCAGACTCACTGAGCGAATGCTGACAATATTCGACTGAGCTTTCATAGTTTCAATATCATGTTCTAATTGCTGCTTCCAATCAGAAAGTAAAGCCTCATCCTATACAAGTTTGGAGGTAAAATGAATATATGCACTATAAATAGCAATGGAATAAATTTCAAAATAAAATTAATCTAACATCATACCTGAGGCAGCTGTATTGTCACTTTGTTCGGGAAAAGGCGACTAAGTTGCTTCATTACTTTAGGGGTTTCTTTGCTCCTATCATGCAGTCTACTAAAGTTATCCTGAAAAAAAAGAACCAAATGGTAGTAGATTGATAACTAGTTCCTTAAAGAATTCGAAACAAAACAATATTCACAATGATTCAGAAATCCATCTATCTCAAAGCCATGAAAAGAGTGAAGTTACATAAAAGGACAAGCTTTTGTAACTTCCATGCTAGAACTACACCAAGCTTTAAGTCAAGTTATGAAGAGAAATGACTGTATACCGGAAAAGCAAGATCAAGTAGTGCTGTCTGATTGCTCCCAAACTTGGTAAACAGAAGGCCACCAGGTTGGGTCTGGAAACAAAAAATATGCAGACATCAAATACATCAGTAAACTTTCCTCTAATCATGAGATTGAGATCACTACAATTAAATGCTAGCTAACAAATATAATAACAGAACAGTACCTTCTCCTTACGATTGTCCAGCAGAGTATGAGAGCCAATTACCACAACATTCTGTGGCAAGTTTTCAAATTTACTTTTCAAAACTTCATAGTTCCCAACCATCGCCTTCTCTATATCTTTAATGAACAACACTAGTGGACCACTTTTACTCTGATTAGAGGTAACCTATGTACAAAACAGAAGAGAAGGGTGCTCACTATACTACTTCAGGAATAGAGGCAACTTTTGAACAAGTATAGAGCTGGGACAACCTCAAAGATTTCATTTATTGCAACTTTATCTATGTCATCCCCTCCAGAACCATCAACACGTAATAAGTGATTTGCTGCAGTATACATCATCAATAAATCATGCATGCTTTACAGCATACTAAATGGTATATGCAGCTAAGGCAACAAAAGTTCAATCAAATACAACAAATTACCAGAACAAAAGAACCCACGATCATCTTCACAAATGCCTCCAAGATCATTGCCATCTGGAATTGATTTATCAAACCTAACCCCAATTTTTGAAGACCCGTTATCTTCAAAAGGAAGGAGAACTTTGCCCCGAGAGCCATAGCTTGGTCCCCTGCCCAAGATAGCAGAAGAATAAACTCTTAATTTCATAGAATACAAAAAATTTAATAAAATTAGATATAAAAAAACTAGCAAGAGGATAAAATATCAACATAAACAGATTATTAAAAAATGTAAAATGAAATAAATAAACAGCAAAGCTGTTTAGTTAGTCGCTCTGCATAATAGAAATAAAAAATCCCTTCAAATAGCCTCAATGCACCAGAGAAGTGCATAAAAACAATCATAACGCTGTAAATCCAGAGGTCAAGTGCATTCAGCTCCAATTAAACACAGGAGAAATGACAAAAATGCAAAATGACTAAATATCTGGAGTATTGAACTACAAGAAATGGTTTTGAAGTGAATTTTTTTCTTTTTCTATTTTGGTCCAAAATGTGAAATTTTTTGCAAGTTAAAACCTCTGAATATGATGACTGTCACTAGAATGTCATTATTCTTTATTAAAAGTTCTTAATACAATCTAAAGCCATACTAAAAGAATTTTCACGTGCATCTTCCTCAATAAAAAAGGGCTTCACAATTTTATAACTCAACAAGACCAGATCTACCTCTACTAGTCATAAACTGTAAATGTATCAGTAAGTAAAATTATTCAATAACTCAAATTACCGTGAAGGATAATTTGGTAGCGGGGAGACAGCAGAAGGAAAGTTACCAACAAATTTTACTCGATCACCTGCAAATTAAGCAAGCATCATGCCGTTAAAGCCTTAAAAATGTCACCCATCATTCATAATAGGACAAGATAATAGGAAGTAGATTTGAAGATAAGTACTCATTTCTACATCAAAAGTCACAATAGCATACCTGTTTTAAAAGTTGTTCCTTTTGATGATGCAGTAGAAACCTCTTGCTTTAGCATAGCCTGAGAACTTAACGTGGATCCACCTATTATTTCAGCATCCACACTAGAAGTTGGTTTCTTATGCTGTAATGTGGCAGTCTGGGCACTTCTCTTGGCAAACACAGATGGTCTTTCAGGCCTAGAACTTTCTTTAGCAGAATCAACCTCCTTTGACGGTGCTCCCTGAAAAACCAATTGCACAATAAGAACAATTGAGTGTACATGAATCCACAATTCCTGATTTAGCAAGAAACCATCTCAAAGGAAGTGAAAAAATATTCCCAGCAAAGACCGTGAAACAGGAAAGAGTTTTAGACTAGTAAGGCACCATTCTACAAAAAAAACTATAATAATAACAGAACAAGTATATCTAACAAAACATACACCAGGCAACGAAAGAGAATCCACAATTAGTAGCCTAGCATCAAAATGCTTCGCAAGTGCTTTGGACAAAGTCTCCTGATATATTTCCGAACCTACACAACAAAAATATAAAATTATATCACTTATCTGTTACAAAATGGGGAAAGTAGAAGCATTAAAAAATGAAGGAACCACCTGTAGGACCAGATAACAATATCCGTGGGGCCACTGATGGGAGGTCTGAAGCATATTTTCCAAAACCATTGCACTTCAAATGAATAAATGCAGAAACAATCAAAACGTTCTTCGTTGTATCACTGGAATAATACAAAACATCATAACCAAATACCCATAAATTATCTCTTCTGTCTCAAAGCAATAACTAAAAGCAATTAAACCCATCAATATAGTAATAAAGTCCACCTCAATGCATTAACAACCTGAAATTCAACATAGCAATAAAGAATATGAACGTAGCTATAGTCTGCAATGTATTTGTGACCATACTCAAGGTTCTATACAGTTCAGGTAGCAGAATCAAGATATAAATTAATAACAAAAGTTACTTGTTTGCACCTTAGATAATATGGGAAAGTTTCAAATGAGACATCAATATTCTCAGATTTGAGAATTCTTTTTTGTAAACTGTCCTTAAATGCTTCCCGTCTGGTTGATGCCAATATTGTTGGGGTATCAACATCTTTAAGGAGTTCTCTTAATTCCCGCTCTTCCAATATCTTGGAAATGCCACAACTTAGATCAAGTTCAGGACATGAGCCAGCAAGCATGCGCAGTAATGGCCTCAATTCATATGCAGCAGCAGGCATCTTCCCAACATCTGCATCCACATTGGGGTTGGTTTCTACGGGGTCAATGCTAGTACTTTCATTAACATTGTTAGCAGATGCAAGAACAGTTTTCTCAGCAGAGAAAACTCCAGCTGGTTCATCATTATTGGTGGTATCCTTCATTTCATTCTCTGGAATATCATCTGTGATGCCAGAAGGTAATGATGGAATGTCAGTGTTCTGTTCCACATTATCACCAGTGTTGGCAGGGGGTGAAAGGAGAGATAAATCTTTATGAAGATTAGATAAAGAGGCCAGTATTGATGCTCCAGCAACAGCCGAGGTGTCACCAGATCTAGCTTCAACTTGCGTTCTATTTATCGGAGCACTCTGGGCTTCTAAAATACTAACAGAAGGTATACCAGCAGCACTAATATTGTCATTCGTCAGCTGCTGAAAGATCTAATTCCATGCTAAGGAACCCATAATATATTAATGAATGAACTGTAGAAATGAAAAAATACATAGAACACATGACTAACTTATATCCTCGTAAAAGTGACCACAAATGCAGGCAAAGAAAGAAGGTAGGAGAAACAGGAACTACAGGGGAAAACAGATAAATTCTTCTTGGGGAAGCAAGTGTAAGACTAAAGGATACATAAGCATGCTTGCCAGAAGAACCAAAGACCACCTCGTCACCTCCGCTTAAAATCAGACGAGCATTCTTCCTATAAGTCTTGCCATTAACTTGAATAGAACCTTTACCTCCTGTGATTTCGAGTAATGCAACAGATGAACCTCCACGCTGTGCAGAGTTTACAACAACCACGATCAGTAATCTTAAGAAGCATGGGAATGTTTAACAGTAACTTTCTTCAGTCAGGACATTTTGTAAGAAGCATCTACCATAACTGAACAAACACTCATTTTCCTCTTAAATATCTTTCACCAAACATCAAAAATAGATTGGTCTTTTGCTTGAGAAAAGACTTATTTGACATAATAAAGCTGGAAAGCAGATGAACCGATAGTTATTTGTCTGATCATTCCAAGTTTCATATAATAAAAGAGGAAACTGTACCTCTATGTGACTCAACTTGCACAAAATATTACCAACAGTGGGATCTTTGAGCCATAAATTACAATGACGACCTTGACCAACAGTGAAGATAGGATCACTCATGGCCACGTGAGGATTCTGGAGAAGCATGAATAATAAAAAGATTAATGTCAAACCTACAATAGTATAATGAGAAATAGAACAGTTAAAAATAAGACAGAAACATAATTCAGCTCACAGTTCTACACAATTTAAGCCAACAATGAATAGAACATTTTTAAAATTATATGAGAATACTACTCAATTCAACCATTGATGTTATTTTTTACAATGACATCAAATACAATATTTGCTTTCACTAACTCCAAACCTTCTCTGCATAGTTGATGAAGCATTCTATAATCTGAAATTGAAATTACAATACAACCGCATGTTTTGTTGTGTTTCTTCCTGTCATAACATATCTACCACATAGTAGTCAATAGTGGCCGTTATCATGGTGTAGCGTTATTCCAAGTGCATAGTGTCACGTTTTAGTGTAGCAGCTGGAGTGGCACGAATCGCAGCTGTCGCAACCTCTATTTGATGCACGACTAAAATATCAAATTTATCCTTGTTTTCTTAACATTAAAGGGCTTTTAAAGGGGACAATTTTGGGATTTTGCTCCCCTTTTACATTGTCAATTTCTGCATGTTGTATCATTCAAACTCGGTACTCTTGAACCCTAAGTCCTCCCATTACCATCTTTGGCAACTTCTACTTTGTCCAACAAGCTTCATAGTAGTCAACGTCCTTTTCCAGCCAAATTTCAGTTATCTTCTTTATCTCCAGCAAAACCTACTCATTTATGATGTGATTCATTTGTGTTAGGGGCTACTTTCCAACCAAAATTTGACTATGCTCCCTATATCCAGCCAAGTTATAGTCATCTTCTTCATTTCTAATAAGACCCACACATTTTCAGGTGGGACCACACTATTTTGTTCTATTTTTCTTCTCTATTCTGTTCTGACTTATGAAAATCCTTACAAATGGTTAAAATTTGAAATCTTCAGCACATATATGTGTAGCATAATCTATATAGTGTACTTTAAATTTTTAGAACAGTGGTCATCCTGCTGTCTCCTATTCCATTATAGCATTTTTTCAATCAGCTGCTCCGTGCCGCTATCCAAGATTGACTACTATGATCTACCGAATGCACTTTGGGTGATATAGTATAAAACAAGATCTTCTCTTGTCAGCAATGCGTGGTAAGACACTCAAATTCCCAAAGTTATTAAATTCAACCTCAAAATAAAATGATATTGACTTCTTTGTTGAATTGTTATGTTAATCAGCTCCCACTAATTTGCTTCTCCTGCATGGATTCTCATAATATAAGACAATACATGTTAAGTTCTAAACAGACTAAGTCATGTAATTAGCTCTCACTATTCTACTAAAAGGAGAAAAGCGCCCCAGACAACCAAGGCCTGTCATTCCAACCTTATAAATTTGGGTTACATACTTGAATCTCCCATGAGATTAGTGCTTATTAAGCACAACATTCTTCTTGTTTGGGAGATTAAATCTGCATCCCTTACTTTAGGTGCTTTACTAGTGGGCAAGGATCCATATATTCTTTTGTTAGTTTTCTATATAGTCCTTTCTTTATGAATCATTTGTATCTCTACATCTTGAAAAACACTTGGGGTCCAGCCACCACTCCTCAACATCTCTCCACCAAACCACAGCCTTGAAAACAGCACCACCACTTCCCTCACTTGCATCTTGTGAAATAACCCTCATTCATGTCCTCTTCCATCTGCAAACGTGCTCCCCTCTGACACCTAATTCATAGTGCCACTGCCACCTACAACACTGACCCCCTATTGCTGCTGCCTGCCACCCTTGCAAACCACACCTGCACCTCCACAGTCCACACTTATCCTGAGCTGCTGCACTTAGACTGGATTCTAGCTCTGGCATATTCACAGCCCACCTCCCCCTTGGGTATATCACTATCCACACTCCCTTCCTCCTCCTCTAGCAACATTGCCATCAAGGCTGTCTGCAAACACGTGCAAAGGGGTTCACTGCCATGGTGGTGAACGGTGATCAGTTTGAACTGGAAGAGGAGTATGCTATAGATTGGTTAAAGTAGTAGAATTTTCCACCCTTTTTATTTCTTTAGCCTCTGACCAATCTGTCTCTGCCCACTCGCTTCCTTTGCTTCTTTTCACTATGATTATTTTCCATATCCTTTCCTTAATCCCCTCCCCTCAATCCTCTTCTTTCCTTTCTTTTGCACGTATGTGCAACTTGTGTGAGTGTTTAATCGAGATTAATTCAGAGGAGTATAACAGCACATGACAAAGAAAAGAGAAGCACCTTTTACAACCATCAGAAGAAGCAAAATTATTTCACCATATTTCAGTCAAGCACTTGAAGCTATAACTAGCACACAAATTTGAGTTTCCTTCCCCTTCCAAATTTCCTACATGATGATGATTTAAACTAGAAGAGGGGTTAGCCTCAAATGGTGTCACCCAGACTACTTCTTGGTTTCTACCGTCCATAATGGGATGAGCTTCCAGCAGAAGAGATCAATAGCCAAAATCAAGGTGGAGCCCTTGATAGCCAAAACACTTCTCTCCTCTAAAAAGGGCATGAAAGCTCTCTACTGTTTGGGAACATTTTCACAGTAAATTCCAAGACAATATGTCAAACAAGTTTCCTAGCTAAATTTCTGATCCTGATGTTACGTGTGCTCTTCCCTCTTTCTTATTTTTTTGACAAATTTGTGCGTCAAAATGTGCAATTACAGTGTGGTAGTTCGAATTGGGTTCTTTTTACTTTTTGGTAAAGTTCTGCTTGGGACAATAAGTTGTCTCATTGTTTATGCATGCTTCCTACATCATTTTCCCTAATAAATAATAACTAGTAAGGGAGATAGGTGTAATTTTTCAAACAACAGGGCTGTCAGCGTAGTCTAATAAATGCTAGCCTCATGTTGTAATTACCCTGCATTCAACAACACAACACAAGGCATTTAGGATACTTGAGTAGGCTTGAAGAATATAAGAGCACAGAATCACAGATATCAATACTACGGTGGAGTGGCCTGAAGCCAATATCCCATTACCCTAGCAGAGAATAGGAGCAAATGTTGCGGTTGGAATCACAACCACTATTCCAGAAAATTGTGGCCCATGCTGTTGTTGTTGGAAAATTCCCCCTCCCCTATTTAACCACTTTTTTCACACCATTAAAGTGCCTTTTGCAGTATTTTTGCCATTTTCCCATGTTTTACATCAGCAAACCTGTGTATTTCAGATTTGACAATAATGCACCTTTCATTCACGCCTGTATTTCAGAGTTTAGACCAAAAGCCACTCATACAGAATATGACCTCCACCCTTTCCAGACAATAATGAGTCCCTGCTTTCCAGGACACAGTACTCCCGCATCATTTCCAGCCAACTTTCATTTCATGGATCACAGAACAATCCTCTTTAAATCTTTGTTTTGTTTTTATTTATTGGTAGAATTTCTTTGTTGTGTCTCCTTTTTTTGTTTCTCTCAGTGTTGTGTTTAGAGAGACAGTGAAGCCTTACATGTTATGTTGTGTTTATTACTAGAAATGTCTCAATGTGCTCCTCTGTTTTTCAAAGAGGTCTCTGTATTTTTAATTTGAGAGGACTCCGCTCAGAATTTTTTCATATATGTTGAATAGTTATCAAGCTCAGATATTGGAGCATAGTGGCTGACCCCAAAAATACTATAGTGGATTAGCACACAGTGGGATGACTTCTATTCAGAAATTTTACACAGATTAAATAATTTATACTATATACATATGCATGATCAAAAATTAAATAAAAAATACTCAATTTTATGACTTCTATAATTAACAATAAAAAACATACAAGTAAATCCTTAAACAATGGAAACAAACAAGATTCAGAAGACATATTCATATTCAAATACACGATATCTTAAAAAATCAATAAAAAGCAAGGGTGGGGGTTGCACAGAGAACAGAATAAGGGAGGTTGATGGTTCAAAATTCAAAACAGAGAAAAAAATGGAGGATGGGAATCATAAAAAATAATGCACAAGATGGGTGACTGCTGGTGGCACAAAATAGACAAAACGGCAGGTGGGTATTAGTCCAAGTGTGACTGTTGCACAGTAGACAAGTATGGGAATTGGGAAAGCACATCCAATTAACCTCCCTCCCCAAAATATACTGTTTAGAGGGGGAAAATGATTTTTTTAAAAACCTCACTGTAGCATGCTATATCTGCTATTTTGGCTACTACGGCCACTATTCAAAAATGCTCTGCTTCTGAAAATTTATAGCAGCCAATGGCCTATCAGCACCATTACACTACTATAACGTCGCTATAGCACACTACTGATAATTTCCTTGACTTTTGCATTCCTGTGTGTAGGTATATGACTTTTGATTATTAATTACGAATATGTCTTTTAGTCTCAGGTGATCTTTAAATTTCTGAGCATTTACATTTGTATAGTATAAATCATTTCCCTTGTATTTATAATCTTTAGAATTGTGGTGATTCTCCGCCGCAATTTGGGATTGATAACCAATTAACCATAACCAGAATGTAGAATTTATTATATCTATCAATACACGAATATTAAAAGCACCAGACAACAGCTCCTAGGCCATCAAAATCACTAGTCTCCGAACAACAGTCAACTTCAACGATCAAAATTGACCATGCATTACACTTGCAAAACATGAAACAGAAGCACTCTAAGACATACACAACACAAGCATGCAAAATTGCAAATACTCAACTATAACAGTAAGACCAAAACCTGAGAACACTGAGAAAGGAGCTTCCCCCACGCAGTCTTGGGGCTAAATTTTGTAGGACGTTTCTTCACCCGACCAGACGACGGTGCGGCCGCCACTGTGCCGGCCACCTTCGATTTCTCCGCTGTTTCACCTAAGGTTTCCACAAATTCATAAATCCTAACAATCCAGAAACCACATGCATGCATAGAAACAACAACTCCACACAACACACGACGAAAAACAAACGAAAAAGGTTGCAACTTTCACACCTAAACACTGTGGGGGCTCCAAGACCTCGCCTTCAAGGGGCACAGAAGGAGATTTATCTGGTGACATCGCATCACAAGTATCCACAGCCTTCAACGACGCCGTATCTGGTAGATCAGAGGGTCGCACCTCCGGTTCGCCAGATTCATTTCCGGGTCCAGATTCGTTGACCGGAGCGATAATTTCCGCGGAGGGAAGGGTAGTGGATGAGGAATCCTCCGACACCTATGGCATCACAAAAAGTCGATCAACACCAACCCATCTCGAATTGAAATTGAATTTGAATACCCATATGAGGAATAAGGAAATTCACATCGAATTAGAGAGGTGGGTAGCACGAAAAAGGAGTAAAAATGGTACCTTGGATCGTTTGGTGTTAGGTGGAGAAGGAGAAGAGAGAGAGCGCTTGGAAGAAGAGGAGCTGCTGCGTCTGGTTTCGACCATGGTGGGGTTGTGGAGGGTTCTGGGGCGTGTCCTTTTCGGGCAAAGAGAGATAGGAGAGGGGAGAAACAGGTTATGACTAAGAATGATTGAGGCAGATCATGTAAATGTTGTGAAGGTTTGTGTGTCGCTGCTTTTATGTGGGGAAAATGAATGAATACAAAATAACAATAATATAATATTTTATAATAATCTCCTTTTTTTGACGATGTTTTTCCACTTTATTTATTAATTGTTGTATACTATACTAATACTATAGAGACGGGGAAAAGGGGTAGAAGGGTGTGATTTGTTAAGAGGTGGGAAAGGTGGAGTGGGGAGTAGGAAAAGGGAAAAAAAGGGTATTGGGTTTGGAGTGTGTGGGAATTGTAAATGCCAAATGGGGAATGGCATCATCGCTAATTAGTGATTAGGATTTGAGATACCAATTTGGCATTTGCAAATGGCAAAATGGAAATATTGTGGGTGGGTGGGTGGCTGTGACTGAAATTTATGCTGAAAGAAAATGGATGAGTCGACATAAGAGTTTGGACTTGAGAGTGTGTGTGAAAGGGAGGCCACATGCATCATGCATGAAGTACCCAACCCTTTTAGGATGAGATTGGTCAACGTGTTATCCAAAATTAATCTTAATTCAAACCCAACAGCACATGATGAGTAATGTTAAATCAATTCATTTTTTAAAAATCCCCTTAATAATGCTTTTCAATTAATCAAAAATAATTCTTAAAATTTCAAGATTTTAAACATTCTGTTTTTTCACACGAAAATCTTAATTTCATATCTTATACAAAATTGCTTATACGTGTGTGTGGCGCATGCGTTAATACGTAATGACACATTTATACTTAAAATAAAAACATCTTACACTTTTATGCTTTTAATTTAACCATATATGATTTTAATCTCATAATTTATTTTCAGTTATTTTTATTTTGTCTTTGTACCATCAATATTTTATTAAGGTATTTTTTTATTTATATAGTAGATGTACATCCCAAGTTTACAGAAGGTAAAATGCTGGCCAAGAAACCCAAATCAATTCACATGCTTTTTTTTTTAACAAATTCACTGACTTTTTGATCATTTAAAGAAAAATAATATTTGTTAATTATCAATATATTAAATACTTTTAATTTTATTTAATATTATTTTTATTCCTAACTTGTATAGTAAAAAAAACTAAACACCAAATTTGATCAATACGTGTATAGACTTGTTCTTACGTGTTATACTATCTTTCTACTTAATTGTAAGCTTGCGTATTTATGTAATTAATTAGTATCTTTATTTTGTATTTAGATTAAAAACATTATATTGTCGTCTAACTACATGGGTGAATTTAATATTTGTCTCAATGTATAATTGAAAATGTTAATACCTTAAAATTTAGGTTATATATGATTTAGTTTTCAAATTCTTAAAACGTATTTTTTGACTCTTAAATTTTTCGTAGTGTGCAGGATAATCCCTCTGTTAATTTATTTTCAAAATTATCCCTTGAAAACAATATACAAATTAACACTTTTAAATTTAAATTATCCCCAATTTCTAAGTTCAGATATTAAATTGCACATAATTCAAACTTCATATGGCAATAATTTGTATTTATTTCAATTGTGTTTTTAATTATTTAAGGTTATCTTTATATTATATTTATTTTAGTGAGACATATTATCAATTTATTTTTATTTAACCTCATTCAAATAAAAAGGAGGAGCGAAGAAATTCACACTAAATTTTACTTCAGTTGATTTAATAATTTGATACATATTGGGATTCATTTTTTCAGAACTCTCATTGGCAGTGTCACAATGTGGATATTCATACGTCATTATTAAATTTATATTGGGTTATATATATATATATATATATATATATATATATATATATTCATGGATTAATTAGTATTTAATCATAAAAATATATTTTGTTTTACTTTATCACAATTATTATAGTTAAAAATAGTCAATATAATGAATATAGAAACTGAATATGTATTTTAATTGTTTAAGATTATATTAAATTTTGTGAAGTTAATCTATTTAATATGAACTCTTAATTTAACAGTTATATTGATAAATTTTAATATTTTAAAAAATATTAAGTTATTCAGAATATATATATATATATATATATATATATATATATATAAAAGCGTTAATATATTATAAATGCCTCCACTTTCAAAATATAGCCTTCTGTTAATGTTTTTTCTTTACTTAAAATTCCTAAATTTCGATGGAATTATCTTCTATTTAAAACTACCAAATCAAAATATTAAGTTTCACCTAATGTTTTTAAAATGCTAAACAATATTCTATTTAAACCCTCGCACTTCCAAAATTTAAAAATAATTTTATGTTCAAATTCCGTTACAAATCTTGTAAAAAATTAAAAAAATTGGAAATTTTCTGTAAAATGAAAAACAAACAAAAAGGCCAAATTTGCACAAATTTCTACTCTTAAAAAATGCAAATTAAAACACGAGAACAAAATCACTTAAATAGGATGTTATACATAGATCTTCGTTTATATCATAGTTAGGTTAACAAGAAATAAGAGGGGAAAACACACAGAGCACAATTTTTAACACCAAATGAATGATGGGTGGAGAATTCGAGAATGTTTCAATGAATATTACAAACTAGATCCAACATCTGCAATTATTCCGACAAACTTTTTGTTTGGTCTAACGCCCAAATATATACATTATAACAGATGAAAATCAGATCCATCAAACACAAGATGCTTAACCACACCACACCCCAAGTGAATCCGATTCCACACAAAGACGCAGAAACGGGAATAAATATTCTCATGTCAAATTTTAACATGGCATAGTCACGTTCAATATTAGTGCTTATCTCTCTATTAATAAATAGTAAATAAGATTAAGCTCCACCTATTTATTGTTTACCCAGAGACAAAGAAACTTTAAATGCTATTGATAAGGTCGCTGCCTTAACACAATACCGTATAAACAAATTCAATTTTAGAAACATCTCGTACACAAAAAACAAGCACAGGAATCATCCAAGTCATACAGGGGACAGAATCAAACAGACTTCAAGTCCTAGAAAAACAATGTCACACATAAAGGTAATTTTTAAATAAAATTAAACAATAACAGCATATTCACTTTCAATGATTTGTTTATGAAATCGAATTTATTTTATATTTTTTTTAAAAAGTGGGTATTTACAAGTGAAAAGCCCAGAACAGGGCACCCCATAAAGCCCGGGGGATGAATAACGGGAGAGGGAAAGAGCAGGGAACCTAAAAAATAAGCTTTATCTGCAGTGAAATTGTCAACAAATTCTACCAAGAAAAAATTTTAGAGGTAGAACAGAGGATGGTGAGGGTTGGAGGGAGAAAAAAAAATGGAAAAACCTATGATATGATACAAATAAAGGCAGAGCCAATTATGGAATTTCCACATCAATTGGTTACACCATTTAGGTGATAGAAGAATTGCCTAACCAATAAATGCTATACACGAAGCTTTACATGAAATAGCTCAAAGATCTCATTTTTCTGGATCCACCTTCTCCATAGAGGTCATTCCATTGGAGTAGCTCATTCATATTTGTTGACTCCGATGACACACTAGCACAAACCTACACAGAGAATGTTTCCAACACTCAAATCCAGAACCACCAGGTCACAAGGCAGCAAGCAATCTTACGGTTGTGCTATGCCATGGCTCACCAACTACTCCAAATAGAATTGAATATATTATAAAGAAAAACCATGATAATGAAATAAATATACCTGCTCATGTGCATATCTAAAATCCTCCATCTTTAAGGGGCGAATATCAGCACTGCTACACAATCCAGGTAAAGGTTTGCTCTCAGACAATGCTAAGCTTCTCTCCTGAAAGACATTTCATGTCAAAGTGAGCAAGTGGTCACCAACCCTGAACTGTTTTGCATGCACATTAAAGTGCAGAGGTTCATATTTAGCACTGAACTGAAAGACTTTTGTAAAATTCAACCACACAAACACACATGAAGATTCAGAGAGAGGAGCTAATCTTGAATATACAACTATAGTGAATGGTAAATGTCTGATTTAAGTAATAATAATCTTGACCATCCATGTAAAGTTATATGTGACCAAGACTAACTCCTCACCTCTCACTAGATACACCCTCTAAACACACACACATATCACTAACCCTCTTTTCCTTCTCTAAGATCTCTCTTATCGGGCAGTGAGCTGCTGTGACGCACAGATTCTGCAATCAATGGATAACAATGAGATTATATGATGTAGAATCAGATGCTATCTTCTTCAACCACCAAGAATGGAGGTGAAAGATGTGTATAGAAATACAACCTTTAGGTCACTCCCTGAATATCCGTCAGTCATATTTGCTATTGCTTCCAAATCAACATCA